CTGACAATTAAAGAAAGAGCACGATGAAGAAGCTACGGGTAGAAAGTCAGTGTCCATGAGATGGAACACCATGATTGTAAGTCCCCAACACTTGACAAACACACCCATTTTTCACTTTTGAATATCATACCATCGACACTACTCTGCATGTTCTTCTCTATCATGCTGATGAAGCCCCACTTCGGCACGTGACCCATTCCATTCCTTCAAACCAAAGGACGGTGCCTCCTCTCTCTCTCTCTCTCTCTCTCTCTAATCCTCTTTCGCCACATTTTAACTAAGCCAAAATTAATCAACAGAATTTAGTCCTTAATTTGACTTGCTAATCTGTTTGTTGATGGCCGTACATGCAATGGTCATCCATTTCGATCGCAAGTGCATGCAGGATGTGCTTAGTCAAAAGGACTTGCTTTTGAATTGACAAAGCAGCCCTAGCAGTAACTCTAGGCTACCCACGGGACCACCTCATCACACTTTAATTACTTAACTGCACATTGATAATCTTCTTGTGATGATTTTCTCGTGTTTCCCTACCAACCCTTTTCCTGTTCAAGACAAGAGAAAACACCAAAACTTAATTAACTAATTAAGCATAAGTTTGGTTAGGTGAAATCCATCCCAGTGAAACCTATTTACATGTTATTCATTCCATGAGATCGTGGCATCTAGCCTTGTGAGATATGAATGGCAAGTCTACAGGTTTGTTGGCATGGAGAACGAGCCTAATTATTAATTGATATTGTTGGGGTGGAAGCAAGTGAATGGTGAAATTTTGAAAGGTACGTGGAAGGACAAAGCATGTGAGGCCAGCGGGGGGAAGAAGAAGATGAATAATTTTGGCGATGAGGACAATAAGGATAAGCCAATAATGACATGGATGTGGCAAACTTTTTTGGTTTCGAGGAATATCAGTGGTGACAGAAGGAAACAAAGGAATGGCTGATTGCTGCAAAACAATTATCAGACGAGTGGGGGAGAGGGAGACAACTTTAGTTAAAGAAACTGCAAAGAATATCTCATGTTCTGTGCATGTTTCATTCTTCTGCAAAGGTCACGCCGATTTCCAGGCTCTACCAGTTCATCCATACACAGCAATAAATTTACTGTTGTAACACTCACGTACGTGCACATTAACTAGATAGAGATGGAGGGGATGCATTATTTTCGGGGTCAAATTACAACCATCTGTCCCCCCCCCTTCTCTCTCTAATGGACGGCAACACGTACGAGAATTGAGGTCCGTTTGACTTTTAGATGAATGATAATGAATAATGCATGGAATATGGATGGGTGGGGGGAATTAAAGTAAAGAAAAAAGAGTCGAGAATAAGCAGAAAAGATGGGGCGAAAATGGGAATAGCGTATACAAGTTGGATTCTGCAACTGCAGCCCCCCATTTGCAGAGATGATGATTGTTGGGAACTTTGCTTGTGGGATTGGAAGTGTGAGAAAGTGACTAGCTAAAAAAATTATTCATTTGTTTGGATTACAACTGGTAAAAATTGATTAACAAAACGTATGTATGTGATGATATTTGAATAATATTTTTTATAATTGAAAATATTTGGATGATTTTTTAGAATCAATTATAAAAATAAAAAAATGAAAAATGTTCAATTGTTAAGAATTGATTCTCAAATAAAAAAATAAATTTTTCAAAATATTTTTCACAAGGTAAATGGAGTTTTCCAAAATTAAGAGTGCTTGGATAAGTTGTTGTAAAATTATGATTTTTATCCCGGATTCCAAATGAGAATATGCGACGACGCATTGATTCCTCGGAGACTGAAAGCGCACCACCAAGCCCAAGTCTTCCATTTTGAATCAACCAACATGTTGACAGCCACAACTTATCCCCTTTCTGCTACTTCCTTCAATCTCCTCCTCTCTCTTGCTTTTATAATCACAACGCAATGCATCACTACAACATACATAATGATTGCATTTGTGTGCTTCTAAACAATTTATTTTTCTTGAAACACGTCTGAAAGAGATTCTACCCAAGCTACATGTGAAAAAAAAAAAAAAAAAATTGTCCCAGCATGCGAGGTCATAAAACCAACAATGCACATGTCGTCTTCCATATTCTGGCCAATAGAAATTCAAGAAAATATCGTTGTTGACGTGTCTGGAACTGAAGGACCCACAAGACATCCTCACCCTGTTTGACTGGGACGTCATTCACGCCAATTCATGCTCGTTAATTAAATGTTATTAATTAATAATTAATTAATTAATTAACCTTTTAATCAATAAATTAATATATACAATATAATATTAATAAATAGGCGTATTATAACTCATTTTCTCAAATTTCAGGATAATTAACTATAGGAGGTCCCACATTGATAACAGCCAAAATGGGAGACTGAATATTATAGGACGACCTAACATTTTGGAGTTAACTGAAAATGCTTTATTCCACTTTCAACAAAGACGTTGAACAGTAATATTCATGAAGGAGTTAGAGAGTTATAATTCTGGCAACGAGTAAGAATTTATTATTGAAATCAAAAGGTGGCCACTTCAGTATATGAATGTGAATGATAAGTGACTACACCAGAGTCAGGCTATGTGGAGTCAAGAAAGCAATCAGGCTCCCACGCTTTTTTGAGATGGTGCTGCAAAAGTATTCATTGAAACTCAGACTTCGTATGACCAGCAGTCTCCCTAGCTACGAGAAAACACACTCAAACCAATCTAATTTATGGTGGCTTTAGATTGTTAAGCACATCCTTTTCCATTGTCTTAATTTCTGATGATACCTTATCAGTAAACAACGTTGGAGACCCATTTTCAAACAGAGTGATTAGCAGTGAAATGAGTGGATAAAGACAACTAATGTGCGTCTAGGACAATCCAATACAAAAGCAAGCAATGTGCGTTAATTTCATTCATTCTTGCAGTAACGGAGGCTAACAGATTAGAACGAGCTCACTCAGCTGTCTAATTCTTTACAATTGTTTTGAGGTTAAGACCTGCAAAACAACAATTTATAAACGGACGGTCTTTTGATAAAGATTTCCAACAGTAAAATCCAACGTGCTTATCTCCATTTGGGTTGCGATCATTTCCTTTTTTTTGCACGTCCAGGACAAAGGAAATTGCAACCCTGCTTTTTCCGTCTGCCTTAACCCTCCACCAAGGAAACGTTATGCAGTGATAAACATAACAAGCCAGATTTGACCAATGACACAGAGTTCTGATAAGGCGTGATTAGCTGTTAACACACAAAAGGTGACAACCAATGAAAATAGGGCTTGAAAAAAAGAAAAAACAGAGAGAGAGAGAGAGAGAAGGTGCAATTTGCTTTCCTTTCCCCCGAGAAATGAAAAAGATTGGTGGGCAGTTGATGAAGAAGAAGGGGATAGGGTGAGTTCTTGACAGAGCAAAGTTTTCCAAATTTGGGGAAGCCGATGTGGGGAGGCAGGGGCGTAGGCGTCGAGCTGTGATTGGGGGGGGGGGGGGGTGAGAGAAGAGGCTTTCCAAAATGACCGAACGGCTCTCTCACGCTCTCCATAACTTCGTTATCAAATAATGGCCAGGGGACGCACATGCTCTTTTCCATCGTCCTCCTTAGCAAAGGTATGGATGTCAGTGATGTACGCATCCCCCATTTATTCTATTTTCTCAGCTCATTTCAACATCTATTATTGCACGGACCAAACACACTCACATTTCTTCTCTCTAATCCACTTGGTTATTTTATTTGCCATTTACAAATCCAAAATCATTGCCTCGCGGACTACATACAACCCCGCCCTCCCTTTTTCTGTGTGTGTGTACAACTCATTACTCCTGATAAAACAAGAGCCTAGTTTATGCATCTCTTATAACATGACAATTAGTTTAGTAGCTTACCCTGTAAATACAGAGTATGTTTACTTGTATAGGGACAGCAAGGTTTGGCGCATCGGGAGAGAATAAGGTTACATGGAGATGATAGAGACTTCTTTTCTAAGTGAGAAAATATAATGAATGTTTCCTAGGCCTGCAACAAGATTGTCGAGTAAAGGATGGTAGTTTAGGGTGCATATATAGTGGGTCATGGGTCTCCATTTCTCCTCCTATACGCGAGATTTCATACAAACCTTGCACGTCTATAACATCTATAACATCAAAATCGGACCTTCTTTTAAAAAAAAAAAATCACAATCACTTTGTGATTGTGTTCATTTTTACTTTGTGTTTATGCCACAATCAGGCTCAATCAAAATTGATCAGGAAAGCTTTATCAGGATCGATTTAGAAGAAGAGGTTTACATTGTGCAGATACCACATGCCAAACAGAAAAGTTGACACCACAATCAACTGAATCCGATGAAAATATGGAATTACGAGTAGTCAACCACAGATGAAAGGTGCGTATGGTTTAGCTAGCAAGTCACAGGATATGACAGCGTCAAAAACTGTAGTGACAAGGGGTTTCGCGAGCACATCACAAATAGTGAGTGCCAAACTCTGTTATGTGAACTAAGAATCTAAGCAAATTCATCGACAGGGTTGAAATTTTCCAACAGCGGGTCAGCCCCCGTGCCTTCCAAGTTACATCTCTAACCAGAACAGCTCAAATAATAGCAGAAATAATTTTTGGGCTGCCTCCATATTCATGCATCATGGGCTCATATAAAAAACAAAGAATGCTGTCACCTCAGGCTTCCAAAATTATCATAGTGAAAGAAATTATGAAGACTTTCCTTTAATCCTATGGAGTTTATAATTGGTAAAATCACGACGATTTTACTGAAAAAGTGATAAACATGTAATTATAATTGAAATAGGACCACTAGCTACTTTGTTTTCTCGTGTGTGTGCGTGCGTGTGGGACAAGGGACCATGGGAAAGTAGAAACACACACATCGCTGGACGAAGTGTTGTGCACACAATACAAGCTTGGTGAGTCAGCGTCGTCAGTGACGGGAAGGGCTCCAAAAATATGCAGACTTGCGTGTGCAAGTGTATGCCTCTCCTGCCGTTATATATAGACAAACCCCGCAGTTCACCCCCATGAACCAATCTCACTGATTCTCAAGCTGTGGGACACAGAGGGGGGGAGAGAGAGAGAGAGAGAGAGAGAGAAGCGAGGGAGATGGAGACAGAAAGTGAGACGAAACAATCCAAATTCAAGAGGATTTGTGTTTTCTGTGGCAGCAGCCCTGGCAAGAAAAGCAGCTACAGGGATGCTGCAATTGAGCTCGGAAGAGAGTTGGTAATGCTTCTCTGTCTCGTCTGTTCTCTTCATTCGTCTCTCCCACAAATTGGCCAAAAAACTGTTACCAATTTAATCTTCTTCCTCCTCCTTTGTTTTCCGTATTGGTTCCGAGTTTCAATCACAGCAACAAAGCACCTTCGGTATTCTTTGTCTTTGGCACACCCTTTGTTTAATAACTAGAATCATCACCTTGCCCTTACTCTCTCTGCTTCAACCCCTTCTTTTCATGAATTAGATGCTGTATAATTGCCCCCCGTCCCAACAATTGTTAGAAAAAGATAACCCGACTCACTGTTGAGATGCTTTTTTTGGTTTGTTGAAGGTGTCAAGGAATATTGATCTGGTGTATGGGGGAGGCAGCATTGGTTTAATGGGGCTGATCTCCCAAGCTGTTTATAATGGTGGCCGGCATGTGATAGGGTGAGTACATGTCGTGTTCATAATTTGCATAAGATATTAGATTTGATCTTGAACTAAACTAAAACTGATGTTTGTCATGTTATTGTCTCGCAGGGTTATACCCAAGACACTGATGCCCAGAGAGGTAATGCTAAGATGTTTTGGAAGCATTTTAGAGCGAGGGAGGGACAGAGAGGACTAGAGAGTGGGAGGAGAGGGAGAGAGAGACACAGAGAATTACGTAACATGTTTTGGCTTTGTAACAATGTAACTCAAAATGCTTTGCATTCCAATTGCAAGGGGGTGATTTGAAGGGGAGTGAAGGAGGGCCTTTGGTTTGTTATCCCAGTATATCTGATATGACACGTGGCGAGAGTGCATCTGAGTGGGAAGAAGTTATCCTTGAGACCACCTGGCAATCTGGGGTGTTTCGATGACGAAGCTGTTTTTGTCCTTCTCGGGCAGTCGCATTGCGCCAACTTTAGATTCTCGGGGCGTGCCTAGTTTTATCCCCATTTTCTCTATCATTAAGGAAGAAACTTTTATTGTTGTGTCCTCTGTCGCCTTTGTTTGTTTCGAGGGATTGTAGTTATTATGCAGATGCATGATTCCCCTGCAACACCCACCATTGCAATTGAGATAGGACGAGTTGGATTGACTTGGGAGTTGCTGGAAATTTGCAGATCACTGGAGAAACAGTGGGAGAAGTGAAGGCTGTTGCAGACATGCATCAAAGAAAAGCCGAGATGGCCAGGCATTCTGATGCCTTCATTGCCTTACCCGGTTCGCATCCTATCCTTTTTATTTTCACACTAACAACCCTCTTCTGCTTTTTTATCTTTTATTTTGTTGCAAAAACAATATAAATACAACAGCGAGGGACGTGAGGTTTATACTTTTTTGTCTTATCCGCCTCACGCAACAAACACTTTAGTCTCCCGTAGAGTTGACCCGTATTTATTTCTTCATCACCTTGTGCCGTCTTATTGTCATATCAACTATCAAGGAGGATAGGACGTTTTCAACGTGAATTCCTGTAAACTAGTCTGTAGCTGTGTTCCCCGCCCCCCTCCCCCCCACACGTAATTTTAAATAAATCTTCACATTTTATGCTTTTCCAATAAATCTTATATTATATTAATATGCACAAATATTTTTCTATTTCTAGATTTTTTTTTAAAGGGCAAAAAAAAGGTGGAAGCGTGTATCGATGTAATAGGTTTTTACTTTTTAGGATGAGCATGCATGAACAGGGCACGGAAAGATACCTTTTAGGACTATCACTGTGCGTTTAGATTTTTTTTTTTATGAATTTTTTTTTTTTAAAATTCTGTATCGGTGGATGTTTCACGGGACAAAATCTGTACCCAATGGGCGCAGCAGATGAAATGCTTGTAAACTCTGCAATTTCTTTTTTTCTTTTTTTCATTTCCTTTTTCTATGGAGTGTCAGTAAACTAAAGTGTACCTCACTGGTCAAAAAAAAAAAAAACTAAAGTGTACCTTTCCAAACGCAAAAACTATATACGAATTTTATAAAAAAGCGCCTTATTTATAAATAACAATTTAATTCATATCAAGTTTTATGCACATCTAATAACAATTTATAGTCTACCATCATGCTTTGATAATGTCAGTGGTGTTTTTTTTTTTTTTTGAATGCTCCCTATTTTTTTCACTCAAAAAATGATGACAAAGTTAATCAAGACTTCTTAAATAATAAAATATCTCAAATAAAGTAAATAACTACAAGTTCAATTATTTTTATGATTATAGCATATCCAATTACGTTAGTGTGACATAATCGTTTTACATCAATGAGTGAACTAAATCTGGGGAGTGGTATAGTTAGGAACCTAGATATAGTGCACATTAAATTCAGATCAGGGGTATATGCGTCTTTGACAATGTCTTACGCATAAAAATTCTTACTTCTCGATCCTGATTTTACGGTTCGTGGTCGAACTTGAGCCTTATTTCATAAAGCCAATTCTCTGTCATGGGGTACGATGAGCTTAATCAAGACTCATCACAAAATACAGACAAAGCATCAGGGCATAATTCAAAGCCTATAGGTTCCAGCATCATAACCCTGGGTTAATTCCTTTTTCTACATTGCCCAAAAGAGTGACAACTACATAAATTACAAGTGTCAGCACAAAGTAACAGTAAACTATGTGTTGGCCTCTGTACCATTGCCAACAACGCAAACAGAGTGTAGAGTGAACCGCGTGGGACTGTGTTTTAAAGTATGGTGAATGATGATATAGGTGGCTATGGGACACTTGAGGAGCTTCTGGAGGTTATCACCTGGGCTCAACTCGGAATCCATGACAAACCAGTAAGTTTTCCTCGTCATAAGTACGTCAAATCAATTGCACATCTCTTGCATATGGCTGAGCCAAAGTACCGATTCTGGAAGGTGGGATTGTTGAATGTGGATGGGTACTACAATTCCTTGTTATCATTCGTTGACAAAGCTGTGGAGGAAGGCTTCATTAGCCCCAATGCACGGCACATAATTGTCTCTGCCCCAAATGCAATAGAGCTTGTCAAAAAGATGGAGGTATGTATATACACAGTACTAGCATATATGCTTAAATGAACCTCTCTGGAACTTACTTCAATTTGGTTTTCACTGGTATAGGAATATTTCCCACGCCATGAAAGAGTTGCTCCTAAGCGAAGCTGGGAAAATGAGCAGCTTAATAATGACTCCACCGCATATGAGATCCTGAGGTGATTCGTTCATTAATGGATGGAAACATGTGGTAGAAAGAGTTGTCAGTTTAGCGTTCAAGGGACTTATAATATTATCCTAGATTATGACCGGGACAATGTCCTTCTAGTGGGACTGCTCTTCATCACTTTCCGTGTTATTGTAAACTACACAATTAACTGCAATCTAGCTGTGGAGCCTGACTATTCCTCTCAATTTGCCCAATGCCCAGAGCAGAGCATCTTATAAAACAAGTTAGGTGGTAATAAAATGTAGTTACAATTTTACATCAAAGTTTTAGGTGACTGAGTTATCGGATATAGGTAATTACTTGTGGATCCAAGACAAGTTCTAAACTCCACACCAACAAGTGGTTGTTCGCCCTTATCTTCATCAGGGTGCGTCCAATATAAATACAAGTTGGCTAACAAACCAAAGTGCTAAATAAACTGAACCGTTGATACACACACACACACACACACACACGCATATAGAGAGAGAGAGAGAGAGATTGCAGGGACCAGGGACACTTGGGTACGGCCGTCAAAAGCATCGCCAGCAACGTAAACCATTCCTGATGAGAGATCAGTGTTCCCACTTCCTAGAGCCACTAGCACTATTGATAATCATCAAACCATTTCGAGCCAGTAAGTCTGTAAGAGATGTCATGATGGATAGGGTTTATTTGATTGGCATATATCGGATTCTTGTATCTCTTGTTTATTTATTTATTTATATTGAAAACAGTTTTCTATTCATTTCAAAGACGGTGCTCATTTTTAGAATGAGATCTAAATTATTTAAATTTTAATTTGAATGATCCATATTAAAAAGATTATTTTATATTATATTTATTAAAGTAAAATTTTATAAAAATTATATAATAATTTAATAAATTTTTTTAATTTGGTTCATATTTAATTTAGAGGATTCAATTTAATATTAAAATTTTTTATAATTGAATATGTCAAATTTTTTAGATGTACTTTGCACGATCCAGTATTTTTTGAACCATAGAGTATATTTAAATAATCAATATATATTAATTATAAAAATTTTAATATTAATTTAAATCCTCTAAATTAAATTTAAACCATATTAAAAATAAAAAATTTATTAAAATTATTTTATAATTTTTATAAAATTTTATTTTAATAAATATAATAAAAATTAATATAATAATTTTTATATTTAGACCGTTCAAATTAAAATTTAAATGATTCAAATCTCAGGGAAAGCATTCCCATTTATATTCTATCTAAGCTTCTAAGTTTTTTTTTATCTAGCCTTTTGATTAACCATATTCCCTCCAGTAGCATTAATTATTATCCCGATATTGCTGTAGAGAAATAACAAAAGACTTGCGTATTTGGATTAAAAAACAACAACGCGCCGAAAATTGAGCTCTATTAAATCATGAATCTGCATTGTTCCATAATTTAGACAACCGGACGATGCAATAGCCGCAAGATACCTCCAAATTCCAGTGATTACATGTATAAAATATAGATACGTGTGTCTGTCTAAGCGGGCGCTTCTTCTTTTTTCTTTTTCTATTCTTTTTTTTTTAACGTGTGAAAAATTGGAGGCTCCTGCAAACTAGGTTAATTTAAGAAAAGGGGGTGTTGACTTTAGACTGAGATGACAAGAAATCAAAATTGATGTGTCAAACAAAGCCCTGGGTTACACGTGAAGACCCAAAGGTAAAGGCCCGGGCGTTTGACCAGTGGGAAGATCTTACTTGCATAGGCGTTGTGGCACGTGACAGTCGACCATATGGAATTTAGGCCATGCTGATTTTACCCTTTGAAAATCCAGTTCACTGGGGCAAAATATCATCAGTCCCTGAATCTTCGCTCTTCGTTCAACCCTTTTTTTTTTTTTTTGACTCAGTTCTGTTCTGGGGCTAAATAGTAAATACATAAACAAGGCCTTTATCCACGGCCGCAAGTCATGAACCCTCCCTCTATTATGGATCTTTCCGGTTAACCTATGCTACTTGCCTAAATGGATATATATAGGTTCTGTACGTGTGGTTTTTATAATTTAGTTTTACAGTGCGAACCATATTTAAATGAGAAATTGTTAAATAGATAGAGTGCTCCATCTTATAGTCCGTTCAATTAAAATATTTATAATTTATTTAATTAAAATATTTTAAATCATCTGAATAAAATATGAAAAAATTATATTTAGGTCTCATAAAAAGAAGTTTATTATTGAGAGATCTTATGAATTTTACAAAATATTCTCAAATCCTAAATTATGTGCATTGACAACTTGAATAAGTGTATTAACAACTGGGCAATGGCCATTCATAATTTATAAAGAAAAATGACAATTTGTGATGGCAAGTTATAAATTGTTGTTATCCAATTGTCCATGTATAGGATTTGAGACTTGAAAATATCTTATAAATTTCATGAAATCTCTCAATAATAAACTTCTTTTTTTGAGACCTGAATGTAATTTTTTTATAAAATATTACGTGACATTATTTTAGGAGAAATACTTAAGTGGACTAGGTACATCACGCCATTTGTCGTCTGTCCAATAAAAATATAAAATTTAAATGGCATTAAATATAAATTAATTCTAATATCAATGACAGTAGAAGGAGAAAATGTAAAAAATCAAATGTGTATTATGTTATAAAAATAAAATCAATTTAAAAAATATAATACAAGATTTTATTTAGATTATTTAGATCATTTTAATTGAACAAACCACAAATGACGTGATGCATCTTGTGTACCTAAATATTTCTCTCATTTTAATTGATTTTACTCTCATAATAGAATGTATATTTAATTTATTATCTTTGTTTTTTACTATCATGTCAAAATTAATTTATATTTAATATCATATAAATATTATGTTTTTATTAAATAGATTATAAATGATATGGTTTACTTGAGCTACATCAAAATTTTTTCTCTTCACACTTGATTACTATCACATCGTGAGTGGCTCAATAGATTTAAGTATCAAATCCAACTCTACACAAGACACACGTTTATTCTTTCTTCAACTGCCCGGAAAAATAGGAAAAAACAAGAATTAAAATTGACCCGTCGAATTCATAGATGTCAACACCTTATTTCTAGCCTAAGCGGTCAATATTCACTCAAACTCTCTCTTCGGGTGAATCCAGCCAAGGTTTTCTCGTGTCTCACTCGCCTAAGTTCGGCCTCGGCCCGTTGGCAAAGTTTGCTGATATTTTCATTTAGGCATCTTCCTGCCAAAAGTCAAATACTTCTGATATGTATACAAGAGTTATGACTATTTTATACTCAATGTTCGTTGTCTCCAGTAAGTAAATGCAGTCGTAACCAATCAAGGCCTTGCGGAAGAACCCATTCACACAAAATCAGCAATGGATTGTAACGTCCATCATCACAGGTCTAGTTTTTTAAGACCTTATAAGTTGGTGCCTTCATTGTTAAATCTTATGGACAGCCAATTGACCCCTCTCAAGTAAAAGAAGACTTCTTAAAAGGTTATTTTGAGTTTTAATTTGATCAAGGCCATAGATCGTTCTCTTGTTTTCTTTTTTAATATTGCTTAAATATTCTAGCTTGTAAATTCTGTGTCAAAATGCAGTGTGGAAAGTCCCGTGTCGGTTACGGAGTTCATGGATTTTATTCTTTTGGGGTTATCAAACTGAAAATCTTTGTAAGGAAGCACAAAAATGGGAAAGGGAAAGGCAGTTAAAAACGGTAGATATAGATGAGTAAGGAGGGTAGTGCCAAAAACGCAGGGGCAGCCCTTCTCTGCGGCATCAAAGCCGGCTTTATTATGTGTCTTAAGGATTAATATATTCAAGAAGCAGTTCTACTCAATCCAGGTAACGTGTTTGCTTCCAATTCTTCTCTATTAGTCTGCTCCATGTGACCTTCGCTGCATTTTTCATGGGGCACCTCCCCTTCCCTATTAAAGTTCACCACCATTTCTTGTACACTTAAATCTTCCTGATTCTGTGTTCTTCTGCAGGTTCAACATTTTGAATCTGATCCGACTTCCAACATGAGTTTTGGAAGAAAAGTGAGAAGTGGTGATTACTTGGAAGGGATGATAAATGAGTGCGTTGGAGGAAAGCCCAAAACGAAGGCTCCAAAAATTGGGTCTGCTAAGCTTGTGGCCACTCTCACATGTCTTCAATTTTTCTTCGCGGTTTATGCAACGTTCCTCTTGTACTACATGAGTCCTCCTATAGATTTACGTACCAAACCAGAGTTCACGTGGGCTACCCGAATCGCGCAACAGTGGAAGCAGCTTATGATCAAACCTCACGTATTGACTCGCTACCAAGAAGTTTCTTCTTCTGTTGTCAGTAAGGAGATTCAACCCATTACTCCATCTCAAGTTTGCGAGCACGAGAAGATAGACTTCGTGCAGAAGAAATCCAATGATGCTCAGATGATTAAGTTGAAGAGAGAGCTTTACAATGATGTTTTGGACTTCCAAAGAAAAACCATTGGTCCAGAGACTCTTCCCCAGCTCATGGCAATGAAATCCAGATGGAGTTTGCAACACCGACCAAAAATAACTGTCATACTGAACCACTTCAAAAGAAAAACACTCTGTGCACAGCTTGATTCTTTGCTTCAACAGACGCTCCCATTCCACCAAGTTTGGGTGCTTTCATTTGGCAGTCCAAATGAGGCCTCCCTCGAGAGGATTGTCGACAGCTATAACGATTCAAGAATCAGCTTCATAAGCTCCGCTTATGATTTCAAGTACTACGGAAGGTTCCAGATAGCCTTGCAGACCGAAGCTGATCTTGTGTACATTATGGACGACGACTTGATTCCTGGGAGGAAGATGTTGCAGATTCTGGCTCACGTGGCAGGGACAGACAAATACAAGAATTCTGTTCTGGGCAGCATAGGAAGGATATTGCCTTTTAGACAGAAAGATTTTACATTTCCTAGTTACAGAAAATTTCGGTCTAAAGAAGCAGGACTATATTTGCCAGATCCTGCCTATGATATCACGGTTGATAAAGTTGTGCAGGTGGATTTCTTATCTAGCTCGTGGTTTTTATCTGCTGATCTCGTCAAAACGCTTTTCATTGAGACGCCTTTTACCTTCGGAACTGGGGAAGATCTACACCTCAGGTATGTGTACAAGTTCACTTTTGGTACCCTTTGCAATTACTTCTGAAAAAATCAGCACAACTAATTACTTCCTAAAAAAATCAGCACAACTGCCTTTTAACCTTCTTTGTTTTTAAGTTAAAAGTCCTTACTGCGTCAGATTTTAATTTTAGATGAGAACTTTCTATTTATCTATAAAAATATGAATAGTTGTAACAATGGATTTAAAAATAGTACAAGAATAAATAAATACTTTCTGTTATATTCCTGTAATCAAATTCTTCACATGAGGAAGATACCCTTAGCTTGGGAAAAACACTAGAAATAGAAACTCCAATTTGATGATGAGTCAAACAAGTATCGATGTGCCAAAACCAAATGCTGAAAGGCTGCAATTAGTTACTGCTGTTAGGTTCTCAAACACTAGTGACAAGTAACAAGGAACTAGATCCGGAACTTTAATTTTTCTTTTGTAGACCAAGAATTTGACTAATGAAGATTTTCCACGGGCCTGGATCAGTCATTTGTTCAGTTGTCGAAATATGGGCTGTTTTGGGTGTGTTGACAAAATAACAAAAGAAGTTCTGTTATTTTGGGATGCAACATTTGACATTGCCTAGCAAAAACATGAGTAGCCCAATTAGTGTTCGAAAAATTAATTTTAGGGTTTGGGTTAAATGCAGCTATCAACTTCAGAAGTATAGAAATGGGGGCTCATTTGTTCTTCCAGTTGACCCTAATGACAAGGAAACATGGGGAGATAGTGAACATAGGCTTGCTTATGTGTCTGAAACTACAGTAATCTTTAAGGATATAGTCCAGCTCAGAGATGACCAATGGTGGAAAGCACTATCCACTGGTTATGTAACTCAGTGGGCAACAATGTACCCTCAAAAAATTGATGCGCTCTTCTATGCTCATTCTGTGGGCGAAGTTAAATCACTTGCACCTCTTTTTGAGAAGTTCAGATCCACTGTTGGCAAAAAGGCCTACATTGTTGTCTCTGGAGGCAATTTCTGCCCTTGTGAAGAAGCTGCAACAGCTCTGAAGTGGCCTAAGGTTGTTTGTAAAGAGCGTCGTTTTAAGATTTTTGATTTGTCGATTGGAGCGCTTTCTGGTATATCAAACTCAGAGGTGCCAATAATACAAGCCGTATACTCTAGCATGAAGGGGTTAATCAAAATTCACAATCCCAGCGTGATTATTACTGTATCTGACATTGATCCTCATGTAAGGAAAGCTTTGAATATGGCTTTAGAGTCTAATTCAGGTACTGCCACCCTAGTTCTTCTGCCAAGAGCTTCAGTGTCAAAAGTTCTTTGGATGGCTGATCTACGCTCAACTGCACTACCAAGTAAGAAATATCAAATTCCTAATTTTTTTTATAACCTTAAATTCCAAATATAATCATGAAACTTTTCACTTATAGTTTTAACAATTAATCAAATTTCATAATTGTCCCATGCAGATTGGAATAAGATGCAAATTTCAGTCAATATCGTCACACAAAATCGAGCCAGATCGCTAGCAAGGCTTCTCAAATCTCTGAGCAATGCTTACTATCTCGGGGACCAAGTTCCTATCACCTTCAACATGGACAGTAAAGTGGACGAGGCAACTATAAGACTAGTGAGTTCATTTGAATGGCCCCATGGGACCAAAACCCTCAGAAGAAGAATCGTCCAAGGAGGACTAATCAGAGCTGTTAGTGAGAGTTGGTATCCCTCTTCTGATGATGATTTTGGTCTCCTGCTTGAGGATGATATAGAAGTATCTCCTTACTATTATTTATGGATCAAGTATGCACTCCTGGCTTACCACTATGACCCTCAAGTCTCTCTCCCAGAGCTATCCTCCATCTCGCTTTACACCCCAAAACTGATTGAAGTTGTGAAAGAAAGACCAAAATGGAATGCCACTGAATTCTTCAAAAAAATCCATCCAAACACACCTTACTTACACCAATTACCATGCAGTTGGGGTGCAGTATTCTTTCCAAAACATTGGAGAGAATTCTATGTGTATATGAACATGAGGTTCACCGAGAATCCCAAGGAAAACCCAGTTCAAATTCCAAAGTCTAGAACAAACGGATGGGCCGCTTCGTGGAAGAAATTCCTTATAGACATGATGTACCTTAGAGGTTATGTTAGTCTATACCCAAATTTCCCAAACCAAGCAAGCTTTTCAACCAACCATATGGAACCAGGGGCCCATATTAGTGCAAAAGACAACGTGGTTAACCACAAGAAACAAGACTTTGAGGTGCCATTGTTGAAGGAAGACTTCAGAAATTTGTTACCAGGAATGAAGTTGCCTCCAGCCTCAAAGCTACCATCTTTGAACCTTTTCAATCAAGCCCTTTCTCTCAAGGCTCTTAAATCTGCTGGAGCCAAGTTAGGCCAAGACGTGCTTAGATGTGACAATGCCACAGAGATGGTGATTGTAGATCATAACACTGGTCTACCACAACGCTGCTTCAAGTTCTAAATATTATCATTATTTGTTTTGATTAAGTTTTTTTTTTTTTTTTCCTTTCTTCTTCTTTTTTTCCCTTTCTGGGGTTGTCCTCACAGTTATTTGGGATTTATTTCTCAATTGTTTTAACATTAAATGGGAGATTGGGATGTCGATCCTATTATTGAGGGGAGTACTTAAAGATTGCAAAGAAGTATACATTGATATAATGATTTTTCTGAATGAGATCATTGAAACACAGATCATTTTTGAAAAAAATTGGAAATATGTAATTGTGTTGTCGATATTGATGTGCAACCAAAAGTGGCTATCTAAATACTTATGTAACGATTATTTTAGACAATTTTATTATTCATAACTAGTATGTGGCCTGTGTATTGCACGAGATGTGAACATTTTAAAAATAATTTAAATAACTAATGATATTTACTTGAAATCTAAAGTAAATTGTCTTTAAATAAAATGATTAACTGATAAATTATGTTCAGATATATTACAAAAACAAAAATTTAATAATATCACAATGCATAATGACAAAAGTCATAGAACACAACTTGCCTCATCCAACAATTAATGGGGCTCATCTCTTATCTCAAGAACTCAATCTCCATTATTATTATCAACCTCAAAAATAAGAACTTATGTGTTCTAGAAATAATACCTCCACAATCCATAATGGACAAATTCATATATTTAAAGTAAATAATGAAATTATAAAATGCATCTATAAGGATTTTGTTTTTCAATATGCTAAGAATCTATAACATACACTTCATTTATACCAATATGATTATAAATGATTTCAAAATTACAACCACTCAGTTCAATCTTACTTCTCATTCGGTTGATCCTCTCTCATGCTTTATCTTCTTTTTCAACTTGCTCTCCTAATTTGAGAGCCTACCTAAAAAGGGTCACTACTCAAAATTATGCTTTTGAAGACGCCTTTTAATGTCGATTCTCTAAAAAACCATTGTTGTAAAAAAGATGGCAACAAAATTATAAATATACAAATTTTTTCTTTTGGGATGAGACACTTTTAACGTCAGTTATCTAATAATCAATGTTAAATAGTGTTTTAACATCGATTATCTAAGTAAACTGACGTTGAAAATAAAATAATTTTTTTTAAAAAAGCAAGTTTTTAATATCGGTTCTACAAAGAACCAACGTTAAAAACATAAACGACATGATTCTCTAGAGAATCCATGTTGTTTCATTTTGAAATTTATAAACAGATCTGAACGGATAGCACAATGCAAAATTTTCAAGTTTCTTTCCTCTCTCAATTCTAAAGTACAGTGCGGATGCCAAAGAAACCCTTCTCCATTGTTGAACTGACCGTGCCTTTGTTGAAGTCACTATGTGCCATCGCCACTGTCGTTACCATCACCATAGAAGCTTGTAACTACTGCCATTGATTTTGTTATTGATGCTATGAAGCCATTTTCCTTCTTTGAAGCTATTTTTGTCTTCATTTGTTTGATTTTGGGGCTTTTAAGGTACTTTCTCCTCATTTTTCTTTATGCGTCAAGCTCATTTTTTGATTTGGGTCTCGATCCATTTGCTTTAGCTTTTCTTCCATTTCTTCTATTGTAAGTGAATATTCCCTTTGATGTTTCTTCCTCTTTCTCCATTGTGAGGTGTTGCCTCAAGTTAGTTTTTTGGATTGCATTTTCATGCTTATAGATTACAAATAACTATCATTATTTTGTTTCTATTTTTTCTTTGATTTAGGAAAATTTTCTTGTTTGGAAATGTATATATATATGTATAATTTTTTGTTGCTTTTATTTTTTATAATTAATGTAATTCTTCTCTTTCCGTAAAATGTTTCTGTATAGAGGAATTAAATTTATGTTGATTAATATGAATGTTGTTGGATAAAGGAATGAAATTTGTATTTGTTTAGATAAATTAAATTATTTATGATAAATTTTTTAGATGAATGTTGCTGGATAGTATAATGAAATCTATACTTGTTTAGAGAAATTATTATGTGTACAAATTTATTTAATTTACTTAAATTTTTAAGTTTCTTGAGATTTAAGTAAGCTTTTATCTATATAGAATTTTACTTCTAGATATATTTATATTTTTGTAATGTTTTTTCATTTACAAATGATAATAATGCACTTGGGACATATTATATGCTTGTGTTCAGGGAATCCAACCAAAAATCATTAATGAAATGAATTTACCCAAATGTAAATATGAATCTCTAACTTTCATATTTAATTATATTTTTGCATGTTTTGGTTTAATTTTAAATTTTCATTTATTTTAGTGCCGTAGGCAATCAGGAAGCGCAAAATGTGAATATTATGTTATCCATTATATGTATGAAATAATTTAAGTTGGAAGTACTAAAAGATTGCGAGAGGTATTTGCTTTTATTATTTTAGTTTAAATTATTGTATTTAATTCCTTTAAATTATTATTATGATTAATTTTATCATTTAAATTTTTGATAATACGAAGCCTTATAATAAAGAAGAGATCGATGACATTCAGGATATTTTGACTCAACAACTTCTCTAAGAATACTTTTCAAAGTAATTGAACATAATTTTATAGTTTTTAATAGTTGTCCAAATAAATAATGTAGTTGTAACTTATTGTATGTTAATTTTGGTTCTACTGGCATACTGTTTATAATTTATATAATTTTTATTTTTTCAGATATGGATATATAGGAAATTTAAAAAATATTTTTAAAAAAATTTAACCATGGTTTTTCAAAAACTATTTTTAAAAACTACTTTTAACAACAATTACATATGATAACCGTAGTTAAAAAGACCTTTAATAATGATTTTTGAAAAACCATTGTTAAAAGTCTAAATTTTAAAAAAATTTGAATTATTATTTTACATGTTTCAACATCAATTATACATATAATTGACATTGAAAGTGTTTTTCAATGTCAGTTAATTAACCAACGTTAAAACTTTACCTTTTGCTATCCATTTTTTCAATTTCCCTTAATAATTGATGTTAAAAGTTTAAAATAACTATTGTTAAAAGTCCATCCTTCGTTAGTGAGTTAAAATCAATATTAAGGCACTAACGATTTTTATCAAATAAATTGGTTTCACTTTTGATAGAAAAAACCTAATAAGATGAAACCTTTTCTCTTAAAGCATCTGAAATTGAGTTGACATCCAGCATAATGAGGGAGACAACTTGATATGCTATTGAAAAATCTATACTTGAGTGTTAAAGAATATGTCTTTTTCTTGATGTTCGGATTTCAAGTATTCCATTTTCATTCTTGAAGTCTATCTCTCTGCAGTTTTTTCCCAACAATTCGTCCTATAATAGCTATATTGTACCGTAGCCTTAAAGTTTATTGAAGAGACAAATTGAATAGAAATTAAAAACGTACGATTCTCACGATTAAGTACATGTTGGAGAAACTATTTATGAATTGTTATGTATATGGCATAGAGTGAATATTCCATTGAGGAAGCTAACCTTGTTTATATCATGCTTTATCAAAACGATATTTGGGTCTCCATATGCATTAATCACATTGCTAAGAAATTAAGAATATCATGAGAAGAACTTGAATATCCCTTCTCCCAAACTTCCCAATATCCTGAATAATGTCAACAACTTGTCCAAGTTATCTGCATATAGGAATATGCTTTGCAGCTTTTTTGCTAATCTCTCACCCTTTTCATACAAAAACCATCACAACCTTGTGTGCTTCATGGCTTTCATCTCGTCAATCATGTTCCTTTGGATCCTACAATTATGTTGAGTAGGGAGAGTAAGCTTAGGAATGATGATATGGGCAAATTACCCTTTGATTTTTGTGTCTTTTATAAAAATTAAAAAAAAAAACATGTTAGCATTCTAAAGATTAAATGTAGGAGTGATGTGTGACGGTTGCATTGAAATTAAAAGTGAAGATTGCTTGAAAATTATAAATGGAATTGGTCTTTAATAGTTGTGGAGAAGTTGTGAAAATTAAAATTTTTCCTTATCTTTTAAATTCAATTTTGAAATTAGAAATAAGAAGTTTGAAAGATATAATAGTAGGAAAGTTTTGGATAAGGGGAGTGGCTTTGATAGAGGAGAAATTTTCAGGGTGTAAGGGAAGTTATAATGTTTGAATTTTTTATTTTTTATATATTTGAAAATATTAAATTTAAATAATACTAAGGAAGTTATGATTAAAATAGATAGATTGTGAAATTTGAAAAATTAGGAGAAATACCCCAAAAATTTAAAACATATAAATTAAATTATTTTATAAAAGATAAGCAAAACTGGATGTAAGGGAAGTTATAATGTTTGATTTTTTTTAAATTTCTCCACGATGGATACTTTTTTATATATTGTAAAAATATTAAATTTGAATAAAATTTAGGAAGTTATGGTTAAAGTGGATAGATTATGGAATTTAAAAATTATGAGAAATATAAAAAAATTTTAAATATATAAATTACCTAATATTATATAAAAAAATTAAAATCAGGTGTAGGGAGAGTTACAATGTTCAATTTTTTTTATTTTTTTAAAGTTTTTTCATGATAGATACTTTTTTATATATTTAAAAATATTAAATTTAAATTACATTTAGAAATTCATGATTATTTATTTATTTAGGAAGCTAGAAGTTATGATTAAAATGGATAGATTATGGGATCTAAAAATCTAGAAAAATATAAAAAAAAATAAAATATATAAGTTAGATTATTTTATAAAACATTATTAAAATCTAGCATGACTCTTTAAAATTATAGTATTTTGTAAATTAGACACGTGTCAAACTTAAAAAGTAAATTTATATTATAAATTTAATATAATAAAAATAACTATTATATTTTATCAATCTTGATTTTAACTATTAAATGATAAATTGATTGTCGTCATAATATATTTTAGTAATAATAAAATAATTTTATTTTAGTAAAATATAAATGAGGAGTTGAGATAATGGAGAGATATTTGGAGATGAGAAAATTTTATCTATTTTAAAAATTTAAAATAAAAAATTAATTGTCATAGATATTGCTTGTGATTCTACTTTTTTGGAAAGTTGAGATAATGAGAAGATGCTTGAAGGTAAGATAGTTTTATTTATTTTTAAAAATTAAAAAAATAAATAGAGCAAAACAAAATTAGAGACACGTGTTTTTTTAGATGTTGCTTGAAGTTATGCACTTTTAGGAAGTTGAGATAATGGAAAGATATTTAAGGGCATGGTAGTTTTATCTATTTTAAAAAATTAAAAATTTAAAAATAAATTCAATAAAATACAATTAGGGACACGTGTCATCATGAAATATTGCTTGTGGTTCTATTTTTATATATAATGCTACTTGCAGTTATGTTCTTTTAAGAAGTTGAGATAATAAAGAGACATTTGAGGGTAAAGTGGTTTTATCTATTTTTAAAACTAAAAATTTAAAAATAAATTCAACAAAATACAATTAAGGACACATGTCGTCATGAGATATTGCTTGTAGTTCTACTTTTATATATATATAGATTGGGTTAATTAGCAAATAGGATCCTAAACTCTTGTTTGAAAATAGCCCTAGATCATGAACTCTTAAAATCAATGTTTTCAGAATCGAACCGGACATTGAACCGAAAAAGTCAGCGGTTAACGGTTCACATGGTTCAACCAGTTGGACCAATGGTCCAACTGGTGACGTAATAATTAAATTAAAAAAATTATATACGTATATAATAATTTAAATATAAAAAATACATATGAAATTGCTATTTAACTTAAAAAAATTAAATATTTTAAGTTTATCATGACTTAACAAGCCATATGATACAATATAATATCAAATGATTAAAAAAATTAGTCATTTTTTAAAAAAAATTTGATAAAAAATAAAAAAATTTTAACAGTTCGGTTTTTGAAAATCGGATCCGGTTCCCGGTCTGACCGCCGGTTCGAAATGGCTCAAACCGGCTCAACTTTTAAAACAGTTTTTTCCTTTGAACCAGACCGGTCGACGATCCGACCGGCCAGTCCGGTCCGGTTTTCAAAACAGTGCTTAAAATATGCAAAATAAATCCTAAAATTTTAAATTCATAACAAAATAAATACTGACTATTAACTTTTTTAACACTATTATTTGTTACGTGGGTACTGTAACAGTCAGGGTTAAATTTGTAAAAAAATAAATCCTAAACAATACCTGTGTGGACTGTAACATTGTTAAAAATGTAATAATCAGTGTTTATTCTGCTTTGAATTTAAAAGTTTAAAATTTATTTTGCATATTTTAAGGGTTCAAGATTCAGGACGATTTTTAAATAATAGTTCAAGATCCTATTTACTTATTAATCTTTCATAATTCTAAGCATGTAGATTGCTTTATTTATTTAATTCTAACCTACATCACAAGTAAAGTTCCGTCAAAACTACAAACATTGTCGGAATGTAGCTACATGATTATAACAATGACTGCATTGTTGAAACTCCAAGTGTATCTAAAAGACAAATGAAAAGAAAGAAACATATATATAAATTGCTAATGGTTTTACTAAACTCTACCACAAATAAAAAAGTTATTTATCTTACTAACTTTTTTCAACATCGCCAATAAATTCCAGGACTGTGCAAAATCAACAAATAACAATAATGATAGAAATAATTATAATAACAATAAGACGGACCACCCATATGGAGAGGCCAGCTGGCCTTATAGGTTGAGGAGTTTTTTTTCCCGTTATTTTTCTTGCAGGAAAACGAGCTCATATGGGGTTCACAATTGTGTGTGTGTCTAAAGAATATTATTCAAATTAGGAGTGAGATTAAAGGTGCCTACCAAACAATGAATTGGGTAGGAAAGCCTTGCTTGAATTTGCAGATACATGGCATAAAAAGAAATGTTAGTCTCACTCATTCACCTTCCTGTCTTGCTGGCCAAGACTCTTATTGCATTATATAATTTTGAAGGCAAATCGGCATTGAAAAATCAAAACCAGTGTTTGGTGATGAAACTGAATTCGCCCAAAAGAACGAACTTGGACGATGCCTTCATCACCATCATCGCCGTCTTTGATTTTAACCTCTCACCTGTTTTCCTGACGGTGTCGCTCGTTCCTTTCCTTCGGCACAGTCAAAAACAATCTCTGGGTAGGTTCACTTAGAATGAAATCCAAATCTCAAGTTTCTGTCACATCAAGGGTTTATATTTCATGAAGTAACTTCTTGTCACTAATAAAATCTTTTTTATTCTCTTTTCACCAATGATTAACGCAATATAAATTATTTTCAACCCCAACAAGAACCAAAAACAATATGACTATAGTGCAACTTATTCGGCAAGGTTTTCATTTAGGATATTTAAAATAAGATGAATTATTCTTTTGGCATTTGAAAAATAAATTCTTCAACTATTAAGTATGAAAAATAGGTTGTTCATATCTTAAAATCATTAATCACCTAAAAGATGAAATTTGTATGATCTAAATACTAGAAAGTATATTTTTAAAGATAGTAAAAACTATTGATTAATGTAGGAATATATTAGTGCATCGAATTATCCGTAGTAACTAGTAATCTTATAAAAGAACTTATAAAACAAGGCAGAAGGTAATGTAAGATGAGAAGGGGTTATCAGTTGTAGAGAATGTGTTGATCTGGTTGCTTGAGATGGCCGTTAATGAGCTTCCGGAGATGAGAACAAAAGCTCCTGCCAAGTGAATTAACGGCGTTAGGCGAAACCAAGCAAACAAAGTTAAGTTGCAACATAAAAAGGACCAGCAAAAGCTGCATTCATTCCCATACAAGCCTCGCCTCTTTCTTTCCACTTTGTGCCTTAAACCTCCCAAACGCCTTCTCTCCCTTTTTATGTTTCATGGAGCTATAGGAGCCCTTTCACCCCAAATCTCTATATTTTCAAAGGTATTACACTGCACATTCATATCACTTCTCCTTTTTGTTCTGTTCCTGTTGTATCTGTTGAACTCGGTTTCCCTTCTCTGCTGTCTTCACTTTCAGGGCTCCTACTAAATAAGGTCAATTCATCTCTACTTGCGCTCTTCACATTATTGGAAGATGGGAGAGTTGTCGAGCTTCCAATTGGGTGTTATTGGCGCCCTGTTTCTCTCCGTGGCCTCCTCTGTATCCATTGTCATCTGCAACAAAGCTCTCATGAGCAATCTGGGATTCCCTTTCGGTATTATCTGTTGCTTTCCACATGACTGGTTAAACTTCAACGTGTTGCCATTTGCTACTATTCCTCTGCTTAACATTTTCCCCCTCTTTTGGTTTCTTGGGCAGCCACAACACTTACCAGCTGGCATCTGATGGTCACATTTTGTACCCTTCATGTGGCTCAACGCCTCAACTTCTTCGAGAACAAGCCCGTTGACATGAAGACCGTAATGCTTTTTGGCATTCTAAATGGCGTCTCCATTGGCTTTCTTAACTTGAGCCTCGGTTTCAATTCCATTGGTTTCTATCAGGTTCGCTTCTCTTGTTTCATTAGTGTGAGCTGATATTAATTGAATTGATGGGTTCAGTTGCAAAGAAGATGCATATCTTATTAACTCCGTTGACAGGGCTATCTACATTGTTTGTTGTGCCCTGCTGAATGTATACTGATTTTCCTTCTGGGAATGTTCATTTTTCAGATGACAAAACTTGCAATCATACCATTCACCGTATTGCTAGAAACTGCTTTCCTCAAGAAGCAGTTCAGGTAACAAGTCATGAAAACACTCGGATGTAATGCCTAAATTATCCAACCGTGGCCCTGTTGTGTTAACTGCGAAAAACCCATTCACTTATTGTTGCAGCCAGAAAATAAAGCTCTCTCTCTTCCTCTTACTGGTTGGGGTTGGCATTGCCTCAGTCACAGACCTTCAACTCAATTTCGTTGGAACCGTTCTTTCCCTTCTAGCTATCATCACTACTTGTGTTAGCCAAATTGTATCCTTTAATCCTTTGTCTGCTGACTGCTGTAATTAGTATGTATCGCTTAGCTGTGATATGGCTTATAGACTAGGCTTTAAGCACAGAAGAATGTTTATTCTTAATCATGTGCAAAATTCAGCTTACCAACGCAATACAGAAGAAGCTTAACGTGTCTTCCACGCAGCTGCTCTATCAATCTGCTCCATTCCAAGCAGCAATTCTTTTCGTATCAGGCCCCCTGGTGGATCAGATGCTCACCAAACAAAACGTCTTTTCCTACAAATACGCTCCCATAGTCTTGGTAACATCAGATCTCGATCCTCATTATGCACTGTGCAGTTTATATTAGATGATGCATGACTTTTGGAATTCCCATAACGAGTTTTATTTTATTTTATTTTATTTTTTTGGTGGTTAAGGTATTCATCATCCTGTCCTGCTTGATAGCTGTTTCTGTCAACTTCAGCACCTTTCTAGTGATCGGGAAAACATCTCCTGTAACTTATCAAGTGCTAGGCCACCTCAAGACTTGTCTTGTCCTGACATTTGGCTACACATTGCTGCACGACCCCTTCACTGAGAGGAACATCATTGGAATACTCGTTGCCATCTTTGGGATGGGCTTGTATTCTTATTTCTGCACCCAGGAGAACAAGAAGAAACAGTTAGGAGATCTCTCAATAGCGTCTCAGGCACGCCTTCATCTTCTCCATCTTTTTACTTTATTCCTTTGATGTTTTCTCAAAACTCTAATTTACTTACTCATTTATGTATGACTGTGATTCTCCTTCACAGGTTAAAGACAAAGATAGCGCAGCACTTTTGGCAGGGAAAAACACGGGCAATCAAGATAAGGAAAGTCCTGAGCTTAAGAAACCGAGCAAGGATTCTCTTGTTTAGGAGAATAGGCCCTTTTGTGATTTATAATTTCTTATAATACGTACATGGAGGTTTTATCCGGTCTTCAGGGCCCTTGTCATGAAAATGAAGAGTGCAAATCAAGTTTTGTATTAATAAGTTCTCCGTTGCACTTGCAAGTCGATGCATTTCCATTAACATCAATGTCAATGTTATCCTGCAGAAAATATAACTCTTAACTGTGGCATTTGCGTAATTTGAAAGGGTAGACGGCATGAAGGACGTTGAGTTCGAGGTTCATTATTATTGACCAAACAATGAGGGAATTTAAAAGTTAAGGGGACAGATTAAAATTTAAAATAAAAAGATATAAAATTAGATTAGGAAAAGTGAAATAAGCAAAAAAGAAGAGAAGAGGATGCATGAGCAAATGGAAAAGGTGGTGGGGAAGGGGTTTATGGTGTGCATGCTGTAGAGCATCCACCTGCATATCGCAATTTCTACGTTCCAATTTGAAAACGGTTCGCACTTTCTGGTTCCGCTCGTTTTGGTCGAAACCAGAATTAAAGCCTCAAATAAAAAGCATCAATTGACAGGGGGGTTCGTCCTCTTATTCAGAAGTGAAGTTTAGAGTTCAAATTCTAGGAACGTAGCAACAATTAAATTTTAAGTGAAAAGTATGCCTTTAAAGAGATGTCCACACGTTGTTAACTGCGTTAATCTGAATCAAAAATCTAGAATAGAGCGCTCATTGCAAAAAACGTCTTCAAAAGAAAAAGTAATTACCTATAAATTTACCAATTTGTAAATTTAAAAGCTTGACAAGTAAATGTAAAAATTAACTTATAAATGAAACTTGAAAAATAAGTGTAGGTTATTATTAAACCAAGAAACTCTTGACAGTGTAAAATCTTCTTTAATATAAGACATTAGGTAAGTATTACACGCACACATGTATATATGTATTTTAATTATACCCTTGTTTTATTGGGTAATTAACAAGGGGTTTTTTGAATAAAACAAATATTGTATTTATTATTCTCAAGGATATGATTGAAAATATGTAAAAAAATTTAAAAAAATTAAGATTTTAACCAATTTTTTAAGAAACATAAATTAGTTTTTTTTTTTTGTCAAGAGAAACATAAATTAATCAATAAGAGCTTGTATTATGGTTCAAATAGAGTATACATGAAAAATTATACTCCCTCTTTAAAAAATATAAGGTATTTCTAACTGAATCTCACCCTCCAATAAAGTAATTATCTACTTTTTAATTAATCATATCTTTTCATATTCATCCCTATTAAATGCTCTATAATAAATATAAAATTATTATTAATAAGGACATTTTTAAAAAAAGATAATGATTACATCTCAAAAGATTAAAAATACCTTATATTTTTTAATATTTAACTCTTCAAAAAATGCTTTATATTTTTAAATGGAATAGAGCAAAATGATACACAAGGTCTAAGACTTTCTTATTATCCCATGAGGAAACATTGAAGGATAAAAAAAATGCCCTTACTTAATACACAATACAGCTCAATTACAAAATTGAAAGAAATTAAAAATAATTGTAACTCTAAGAAAAATCAGTTACAAATTGAAAGAAATTATAAATAATAGACAATTAAATTGTAAATAAAAAAATGAATTGTAAATTATACCAAAATCTACTGCTTTTTCAATTAAAAAATATAAAGTATTTTTAATTAAATCTCACCTTTCAATAAAGTAGTTATCTACTTTCAAACTAATCCTATTTTTTTATATTTATCTCTATTAAACACCTTATAATAAATATAAAATTATTATTATTAAAAGTACTTTTGAAAAAAAAAGACAATAATTACATTTCAAAAGACTAAAAATGTCTTATATTTTTTAATATTTAATTTTTTAAAAAATATTATACATTTTTTAATAAAATGAGAATGTGCTAACTCAATTCACAGAAAATACCCAATTTCACATCATATTAAAAATTTATTTTATAAGTATGTAATAATTTTGTCATGTTGCCCATCCGATAAGGATATTTTTGTTCTTGAAATAATTTTATGATCTTTTGACAATTACGGTCCTCAAAATTCGAAACTTCGCATAAATGTGCAAGTTCAATACCCAAAACAAATTTTTTTGTCTGATTTCACGTACTTAAAAAAAAATAGAATATCCTGTAAACACTTGAGAGTTGAGTCAAGTTGACTTATTAATGATTTTAAGTGCATTGGGGTTTTGTTACCACCTCGTAACATCACAAAAACAATTTATGGCTTCGAGCCGTTGATTGCACGGCTTCTCTGATCCCTTCATCTCCTTTGATCATCGGTTAGCCTCCATTTCTGTGTTATTGAGGTGCCGAATGTGGCACGAGGTGGTCTTCAAGGTAAGAGTCATGATTTCCCGAGAAAGAAGGGCCCAAAGAATCTAGGGTCTTTTTCCTTTCCCAGGAAACTATTAGGTGTGAAACGTTGGGGATCAACTGAAAGGGTTTTGGGGGGGTCCAAGTTGATTTTGAGTTCTATCCAATGGAGTCCCAATGTACTTTTGGGAATTTATGATCACAAGATCCTCGATTTCAATACCAGAGGTTCATTGTCTTCTCTTTTCATAAATTTCCTCTCTAATTGTTGCTTGGATTCTTGCTCTGTCCTTGTCGTTGATGTATTCCGGGTTTTGCTGTTGCCTCTCGTGATACATAAGAACACAAGAACCTTTTCTTAATCCAGTTGTGTGCTTGTAAGCCCGAACTTTTCTGATTGGTTTGAATCTGTTTTATTTTTCATTTGTTTCTTCCCAACATAGAATTGCTCATTTTTCAGTTGTGTTTTGCTAGTTCTGTTGTTAATTGGAATCGTTTTGGTATATCTTGGCGGAAAAGAAAACTTTAGTCTTCTTCAGCCAAAGTATACTCCCTCCTGTCCCTGCTATTTATAAGACTTTTTAAAAGTAATTTTTAATCTAAAATATAGGTCATCTTGTAACAATTAATTTTTTTTTTAATTTTATCCCTTCTTGATTTGTATGAAGGTATTTAATGTAGTTTTATTATTATTTGAAGTTAAAGATAAAAATAAAAGTACACCTTATTTTTTTATAATATCAAGAAAAAAATTAACTATTCTTAAAATGTCTATATCATTGAAAGTGTCCTATAATAAAAACTGGAGGAGTAAACTTTTAGTCATAGGGTTTATAATTCAAATTTATTTGTTTCTTTATCTCTTAGTTAATACTGCTAGTTCTGCATCAGGTGCCTTCTTCCTTAGCTCTCAGCCCCTGAGTAGTCTTTTTGTGAATGGATCCTGCTCTGAAATTTTATGTCCTGTTGCTGCTTGTTGGATTAGGTATATTATTTTTCCATTTAGTCTCTCTACTTCCTATGTATTCCTTTATTATTTTTATTTAATATCATATTTTGGCTTAAACTTTGCTTTATTATTTTGGTGCCAGTGAATGACTCTTTTGCAGAAGCTGATTTTGGGCATTGCGAAAGAGTTGTTAGAAATTGGGCTTCCTCTTCCCTTGATAAGGAAATCAGACAAGATAAGCACACACTAAGGGATTTACTATTCTTCCTACATGTCCCCAGAACGGGAGGGCGCACATATTTTCACTGGTAATTTTACTAAGAAAAAAATTTCAAGCTTGCATTTTATCAGGTTCACTAACCTATTTTTCTGCTGGTATATTATTTCTGCAGTTTCTTAAAAAAGTTGTATCCCAACTCTCTGGAATGTCCTCGTTCTTATGATAAGTTGCGCTTTGATCCAAGGTGCCTTCTGAATTCTTATTGTCATACACTGGACTACATTATTCGCTCATAGTTTAAAACCTTAAAATCTGTCTTTGTAAACCTGGTCGCTTACAGAAGTTCTACAATTTTTTTTACCAAACTCCACTAAATAACGTGCAATTCACAGCAGTATTTTTTATTTTTTCCTCAAATGATTTGTGATAGATATTTGGCATTTTTATCATAGCATTTAAAGCAAAGCAGCTTCTGAAATGTCAGATATTATTCAAAAACTGCTGAATTAAATATGACTATTGACACAAAAATCATCTATTTCTGATCCTTTTTTCTCCTATTTCATAAATTTGCAGCAAATCTAAGTGTAAGCTGTTAGCTACACATGACGACTATAGCTTGACATCCAAATTTCCAAAGGAAAGAACTTCTGTGGTTACTATACTTAGGGATCCAGTTGATCGTGTCTTTAGTACATACGAATTTTCAATAGAGGTTGCAGCTAGATTTCTAGTGCATCCAAACTTGACATCTGCAATAGATATGGCTGCACGCTTGCGCAGCAAGACTAAAGGAGTAAGCACACTTGATATCTGGCCATGGAAGTATCTGGTCCCATGGATGAGGGAAGACATATTTGCTAGGGTATATTTCTTCTTTGAGTTATAGCTGCACTTTCCAACTTGCGCATTTTCTTTCCATGCTTCTAAACTTTTCAAATGCATTCATGTATCACTTAATAACATTTAATGAAATATTATATTGGGAGTCCGTTGTCTAATAAAGATGTTCTTTCTTACTGTCCTGTGACATCTTGATGATTGATTTTGCAACTTTAATGCACAGAGAGATGAGAGGTATGCTAGGGGACAACGTATAACTGAGAGCAATGATTCCTATGACATGGAAGATTTTGCAATGCCATTACATGAATACATCAATCATCCAGTGGCTGAGGAAATTGTACACAATGGAGCAACATTCCAGGTATCAGTGTGCTCCTTAGAACTGTGGAAACTTTTATACTTATATTACATTTTTATAACTGCCTTATATTTTCACTGTTTTCTGAAGTTATGATTGACTGGAATTACACAACATGGAATCTGAGCTTCTGTTCATATGCCATTACTACAAAAAGATGAGATGTTTTTCAGCTGCAGAACTTACCATTATTGTAGGCTGATTATTAACTCTCAGTTTGTGCCTCTTGCATGCCATACACTATGCCTTTTTATTGGATAGTGTCTTATGCATCCTTATATTTTAAGTGATAGCACCTCATTTTTAAATAGCACAGTACTTAGGTAGTGCTGTAGGTACAGAAAGCGCGTAATTTGGTAATAGAGCCTTTTGGTTTAGTTTCTTAAATACAATCCAAACACACAATTCTTTGTTTTTGCAGAATTTTCATAGTATTGCTGCCTGCTATATTTAACGAAGGGTCAGCTATTCAATAAACAGGTTGCAGGTTTGACAAACAATTCTTACCAACTAGAATCACATGAAGTGCGCCACTGTGTGCGGAAGCATAAGATTCTGGGGAAATATGTGCTTGAAGTTGCAAAGGTATGAAATAAACATTGGAATTTGCAGCTTTTTTTTTTTTTTTTTTTTGCTCTGACCAACGGCATCATATATTTATTTACTCCCTTTATTAATACTATTGTAGCGTATGATTATAAATCTTACAGAAGAGATTGGATGACATGTTATATATTGGTCTTACTGAGGAGCATAGAGAATCTGCAACTATGTTTGCCAATGTCGTTGGTGCTCAGGTGATATCACAGATTAAAGCACCAAATTCTAGCCTGAATCATGTTGATAGCATTGGTTAGTGTGATGGAAGCATTCTTTGTTTTGCTTGAGCATTTTTTTCTCAGTCAGATAACATAGTACAGTATGTGGAGCATAATCTCTCTTGTACCTGCACATATATGTTGTCAGGTGGTCTTTTGGGTGTGTCGAAAATGATGTTTTGCACTGAGCTTTAGTTATTATCTTAGTGTTGGCATTGCTTTGGGTTGATTACGTGCTTATAATGCAGAACAGAGTTCGCTTTCAGATTCAGAACCTGATAACAGTGAACATCAGGTAAGAAGCGTCCCCTTGATGAAGTATTATGAGATTAAAGATTGAGTCAGAAAACCTTTCTTACAACATCTCTTACTGCGAGACAGAGTAGCATCTCAGACAAGAGACCAAATAAGACTGATTCTAGTGAAAACAGAGAATCAACAAAATCAAATGTAAGGATGTTTTCTTGATATGATATGATGTCTTATATGAACTTATCAGATAGTATCTGCTTCTTATATTTTTGACAATTACTTTGATTTTTCATCCATTTTAGATGACTGTGGAAAAGCTCACAGAAGCTTATGAGAGCTGTATTTCTAATTTACGGAAGGCCCAGGCACAACGACGCATTTCTTCTTTAAAGAAGATTGCTCCTGTGAACTTTTCAAAAGAGGTACGCTGCTTTTCGCTGGGTCTTCTGGGCATTCCGAACGCTTCCCCCAAATGAGAAGAAACAGTTTGTTACTTTTTGGTAGAATGCATTTTCCTTAAATACCTTCATCAAATGAATTACGAGAGAAATTTGGGGTCCATAAGGAGTGTCAGCCATTAATAAAGGGCAAATTTGAAAAGAAATCAAGTTTTGCTACAAATTAAATTAGCTCAACTAACTTTAACTAGTTTTATTGGTTTGAGTGAATTAGGTATCGATGTCTTATATTTAAGATCAAAGGTAGTAATTTTTGTAGTGTCTTTTTTGTTTCTATTGTTTATTTAAGAAGCTGGGGTAATGTCCTTTATGCTCATTCCCTTGTCCTGAAATCATTTCAAGATTTCTCAAAAGCATTTAGGCTTGAACAATTGTGGTTGCTTGCGGTTAAAAATCAAGATTCTGTGCTGCTGGAAACATCATCATAAAGTAATTTTATTTCTGACATTAGTGGATCAAATCCCTGATATAGTGGTCCTATGGGAATGAACCTGTTTCCGTAGTAGTTAGTAGTGTGTGATCAGAGCTCAAGTTCAACAAAGTTAATTAAAGTTTGACACATGCAACGTGTATGCTGCCTATTTATTGGTGCTGAATTACGTGTATGTAAATCAGATAGCAGTGTTTCTACATTTGAGCCTGTTCAGATGTCCAAGGAACAACTTCATAGTAATATGATGAACTGTTTGTCTACGTCAAGACTTGCCTTGGGCCTTAATTATGTACGATAGATTAATAATAATTATCATGTGTACATATTTGCAATAGGTGTTGGAAATTCATGCTCTCTGTTGCTAGCTTGTGGTGTTGTGCAATCCCTTTTCTAATTATTTGTTTGATTCTCCAGGCACGACTTCAGATTCCTGAAGTAGTTCTCCAGCGGATACAATATCTTAATGATCTTGACTTGGAGCTTTATGAATATGCAAGAGACCTTTTCTCCAAACAAAACAAAACTATGCAGAGACTGAATGAGGTATGACCGTATGACTGTTCAATAATTGATATAAGGTATTCAGAGTTGCGATTCTCTTGTCTGCTGGGAACAGATTTAAACAGTGCTCTATGCCGGGTTGCTGGTTCTTTTATTGTTTGGTATGACCAGCATGGTTATATTTATCTCTGTATGTGGGAAGGCGTGTGATGGGAGACTTATCATAGCATGCGTTTAGCTTCTCTGTGTTGATTATTGTTTTATGTATTGAATTTCAGGAAAGGTGGGATAAGATATCAAGCAATGTCTATGGCTTCACTCTCTGGACGATCCTTCCTTTAACAATCACTCTGGCCTTCTTACTCCTGTTCCTTGTTATTGTAAATTTAAGAAGAAGAACGTTGAAGGTTAAGCTGTGAATGTCTTTAAATTATAATGAGTGATCACATTGTCTCCAGAAATTTGGGTTTTTGGGGGAGTTTGGGGGGGGGGGGGGGAGAACAGATACATGGTTGCATGACACCTTGGTTGCCCTTCCTCTTAAAGCCCCAACTGTCCTTTTTATTTTTGTCTGATCACGGAAACCTGAATTTTTTAGGGTCTTACTGTTACACACGAACTTTTTTATTGAGGATAAGTATATTCTACTCTTCAAAAACATGTTCGACTCTCGATTTTGCAGTCTATTACTTTAAATGCTGGGCTGTGGAGAGCTTGTGTGCTTCTTCGGTGCTTTATTTATTTTTATTTTTTTTATCTGTCACGGTTTTCATCGCTCCTGGTCTTTGTGCCGGACACTGTAAAAGTTAGAATGAGAATACGTTGTACCACCTCCACGCAACTGTCATTTATTTTTAATAAATAGGATGGAAAATAGTATTTACTGAAAGACTTTTTTTTTTTTTTTTTGGTGCTTCTGGCCAATGCCACGCGCGAACGGATTTAATCTTGGTTTTAGTCGCAACTCACTAGTAAGTGCGTCTAATTATTCGCAGCAAATCTTAGAACTTATGACACATCCTCCAAGGAACAAGGTGAGATCTTACTCTTTCTCAGGGAATTGCATGTTGCCCCGATCGCTTTTATTTCTAGTGTTTTGGTGGGGCGGAACCAGTTATCAGTCAGGTATGGGAGTAATCTTTAAGGTTATGTAGTTCGAAATATTGATGTAATTAATTTTCGTTCAGACAATCCGTTGCCCCAAAAAATGCGCGATTTAAATAATAATAGGGGAAAAAACAATAAATTTTTTTTAAAATATATAAATAATAATTTAATTTATTAAAATGTCATAATTTTTTCATAATCTTAAGGACTTTTCTATCATTAATAAATTTATGTAAATTATTAAATTATTTTTATTGAAGATAAATAATTTATAAATTTTGTTTAAATATTTAAAATTTTTTTCTTATATTTACAATAATATAACAACATCTGAAAAAATAATTTAATAATTTATATAAATTTATTAATGATATAAAACTTTATAAAAATTTTAAAAAAATTTTAATATTTTAAAAAAATTAAATTATTATTTATATATTTTAAAAGAATTTTATTATCATCTTCAATAATAATAATGACAACAACAATAATAATAAATTGTAGTATAATTCTCCAGAGCGGGTCCCGCGATAAATATCAATCGCACGGATTAATAATTGCTCGGGTCCAGACGGATTTCAGCCGAAAAAGCAAGAGGACGAATAGAAATGCAATAATTCTCATCGATCCGTAAAGATCGTCGGTGATCGCTCCATCAAATCTATAAATCATTGATACAAATATTAATTTTTATGAGATCCATTCATTTTTTATGTCTTAAAATAATTCCCATGGATCCCCATCTCGTGCCTCCATTGACATTGCCACCTCATTTGACCAACCAAACGTCTCAATTTTTTTTTTTCCTTCTTTAAACAAATTTTAGTTTAATTTAATTGGCTCGGTGAGATTGCATTCGGTCACTTTTTACAGGAGAATTTTTAATCCTATGTTTAGAGCATTTATCAAAAAATTTCTTTTATACCATCATCACAAAATATTGTTTATTACTGATATCAATTAGTAAAAGCCTCCGACCCATTATTACATATCGGTATTTTTTAAAAATATACTATTCCGTTTTTTAATATAAAAGAAATTACTATGTTTCTCTCTATTTTTATTTATAAGTAAAATTATAAGTTTTAAGAAGTATTTATTATACTTTTTTATATTATCACTCATAAAGTTAATATTTATTTTCATTAGACAAATTTATTTCATTAATTATAAGAATAATTTAATTTCATTCTTAAATTTTTAGATATAATTATTATATTTAATTAATTTTTTTAAATTATACAAGTGGGTTGTTTTCTTTTATATTTAAAATGGGAGGGAATAAATTGATAGCATATTTATTAATCTAACTAATTTTAACTGCCCTTCCAATTAGTTTTTCGTGCCTCCTAGACAAGTGAGGAGGAGTATCACCCACCGTTCACAGCAGCAATTTCACCCCTTTTATTTTCCAGCCAAGAATGGCTGTAAGCAAATCATCAATCAATCACTGAAAGCTCCCAACTAAAGCCAATAATTGAATTTTCCTGTGAAATTCATTCCTCGTGGAAAATTGTGCATGGGATTTTTAAATAGCCAAAAAGGCAAAAACTATTGCTCAGTAAATTTTAAAAAAAAAAGGTGGGGGAGGGAGATGGAGTAGATATGGAGGAAGAATCATTTAACTGGGAGGGAGATAAAACCCTCTCAGACTTGGACACACCGCGCAATGAGGGTTTCACTTTCAGCATTCTATCGCCACTGCTGTGCAAAATAAGACCTACTTTACCAAAATCAGACACAGATTCAAAGGAATCTCATTCTTCTGCCATTTTAATCTTCAGGCTCAGACTTTCGCCTCTCCTCCGCTGTCTCCATGTGCTGCTAATGTGTCTTCTGCTTTCTGCAACACTATTTTCTGACACTTCCATGGCCGTCTCTCCTCACCCACCACCGTGTTTCCCTACCCCCTTTTAGTCACTGAAGCAACCATGTCAGAGGTCCTAATCCCATTATAAGCTCCTCCATTTTCTTCTTTCTTGCGTTTGATTTTGATTTTCATTTCATTTTGGAACTTGGTTTATCCCTCAATATCCTCTTGTGACATTCAAGTTATTCTGATGATTTTTTTTCTCATATTCTTTGAAAACTCCATTTCCTTTGCTGTTTGTCTCGGTTCTTAGCTGACCTTTTTCATTTTATCTGGCATGATTTTCAGAAATGGACCAAAAGGCGAAAAGCTAAAAATGAAAAAAAAAAAAATTAATTTTCCTCAATATTTTTCCTACAGTAGAATAATATGACAGCTGGGAGTAAGTTGTAGTTCGTTATATTTGCAAATAATGCAGTTCTCTGCATATGGATTTGAGCACCTGTGCTACATTTTCTCAGCAACCAAACGGTCCACTGGATGTGTCACTTAGTGTTTTAAGGAAATTTGCTTTTGTAGAGTTCATTCTTTAGAATGGTAAAGGATTGTAAGCAGTGGTTCGTTGTTCATTATCAGAAACCTTGAATAGACGTTTGCTTTGAACAGTACACAAGCCTTATTTGTTTCTGGTTTCCAAACCCTATAAAAACTTGCTGTGTGTAGGATCCTCAATGGCTCATAGTTGAGAATTTCCTTTTCTTTTGGAGGTAAATATTAGCTACCCGCTAAAATGGGCATGTAGATAATGTTTGGGTGGATTTTATGGCTTTAGAAATCATATAACGTACGCTGTTACGGGAAAAAAAAATGATTTCAACTAGTAGTTAATCTAAATTGTTCGAGGCAATTCTTTCCTTAAATTCTATCATTATGTCTCGTGTACTTACAATTTACCCTATTAATGATAGTTTCCCTTCTGTTCCGTTTTTATTGAAGTTTTTTTCTAATTTCTAACAGCATGCGAGCAAATAATCACAGCATCTATCTTGTGTTAATAATTTAATATAATATTTTGAAACAGGACGTTACCAATATGAAGGATCCTTTGTTTTTCGACAAGAGTTTTAGTGGTCTATCGGATGAAATCTTTGATGATGTCATAAAGTTTTTTGATTTCCCGCTGGACGATGTGGAAACTAACATTGCGGAAGAAGAAGATTGGGATGCTCAATTTAAACGCATTGAAGAGCCATCTTTTGATGTATTCTCAGCCTCATCGTCTGAATTCTGCGGTAAAACTGAAAATGACAATTTACACCTCGGAAGGACTTTCTCTTCGGTGAGTTTTCTGCCCTCAGAAGTAAAATTTTACTTTAATGCAGTGCACTTGGGTACGAATGACCCTGTTGGATGATTTAGGCTCTGTTCTTATATTCAGTCCCAATCGACTACTTGAATATTTCAAAGGACCTAGATTTAAGAGTGTGTTTGATTAAAACAAAATGAATTTATTACTGAAATTTAGTATTATGCTTGAATTGAGGAAAGGGAAAGGGATGTTTGACTCGGATGATCAAAACCTTTCTTTGCTTCCTTTCTTTTCCTTTGTCCTCAGTCTGAACATGCATTCAGTGATGAAAATTTCTGCACTATTTTTAACGTGTTACATGCATGATGCTATACTTACGGAAACTATTGTGTATTAATAATTTAAATAGGGAAATAGTTGTTTCTCAAAGCATTCAGCGATCTCTAATGTGCTGAATGCTAGCGTCGCTGTGTTGCTAAAATTTATTTTTAATTGAGATTTAAATAATACTAGAGAATCAATTTAAGTACTATGTTTTTGGATTTTCAGCACTGAATTTAATTTTCAACTAAGCCCTTGTGTGAGAATGGAAGTCAGTAAGTCACTATAGATGATAAGATTGTAACAAAACTAATGAAAAGGTTTCTCATATTTACCTGCAACTGACCTGAATGTCCTGGAGGTACTTCTACAACTGACTGCACCCTGAGCCTTTTTGCACTTGAAGAAAATTCTGTGTCTCTGTGTATGTGTGTGTGTGTTCCTCTGTTTAATTTTTAGTTTTGTAGTGGCAAGAATTTATCGGTCACAGCAGGGTTGTAAGCTGTAAATTGTTTACCGATTCCCTAGGAAGTAGAAGATGGTGCGTGTTTTCACCTTTGATGACAGCCAGGCTGAGGCTAATCCCAGGTTGTTGATTTTTCTTAGTGGAAAATGAAGTATAAGGACTATAAGGAGAAAACAGAGAAAGAGTAAGTTTGACTAGATAATATGTAGTCACATCACACATGCTTAAGAGGCAAAGACCGCCACGATGAATCACAAAATGAGGTTTCATATAGATGGTAGTAGCTTCAGAACTAATGCCCCCTTGGTAGCATGCCTTTTAATATGATTGGTTCTGTTGTATATTGAATGCATGTAAATATTGGAAGGAATCGCCAAGGTTCCTCTTTGATCACCTGAAGATTACCTGAAACTTTATACACTGTCAAGAATAGGTACAATCTTTTCCTGATAAATTATGCCCATATCTCTTGTAACTAATCCGTTTTAATTTTCCTTTTGTTGTGTGTACCATCATTTGGTATTGCAGCGTAAGGAGATTTACCACGTAAAACAAATGGCGGGGGCTGCTGAGCCTAACGTCTCTCTCAACAGAAAGGGTCAGTCCCAGTTTCGAACCTGCAGCCCAGTCTCTGTATTCGAAAGCACTACATCTTCCTCCTGTGAGAGCTCCAACTTTGATCTACCTGCCATCCCGGGGAAGCGCCCTCGAGGGAGGCGCCGGCGTCTCTCCAGCTTCACGTCCCTATTGCCAATCGCGTTCGCCTCTGCATCACCGGCATTGCAAAAATCTCGAAAGGGAGCTGCGACAGGACAGTTATTAAACGGAGTGAAAAGAAAGCAGAGGAAGAAGGATCTCTGCATTATCTCGGGCGATATCATGATGAACAAATCCTCGTCAGTGGAGTCGGCCACCCCTAGAAAATGCATGCATTGTGAAGCCACGAAGACCCCACAGTGGAGGGAGGGACCTATGGGTCCAAAGACTCTCTGTAATGCATGTGGGGTTCGATACAGGTCAGGCCGCCTCTTCCCTGAATACCGCCCCGCGGCCAGCCCCACTTTCGTACCGTCTCTGCATTCCAACTCTCACAAGAAGGTCATAGAGATGAGAACCTCAGCCCTGCAAGAGGCTGGGGCTTCTATTTTAGGTTTCTCATCGAATTAACCTCCTTGAAATCCTTTAGGATTAATATCATGTCATATTTTATCGAGTGTAGTCCCAAACAGGTGCCTCCTTGTTCATTTTTCTCGCTTTTTTTTTTCTCCTATAATTATTATGACGTCGCATTGCTTCGCTTCATTTTTTTTTTTTATCATGTAAATCAGGGAAATGTAAAAGGTGGCTCCAGCACTAGAACAATGTTGCTGCGTGTTAGGCATTCTGGAAACAAGGTGTCAATTTTTAAACAGAAGTAGGAGATGATGTGTCTACATTTAAATATTTTGCATCGCTATCCATATTGTTCAAGACCTCGAGGGCACAGAACATTGTAGCTGCCTTGACAGAAGATTTTGTGGGCTTCGCCTTTTCTTTTGTTCCACCGTTTCTCCCACCATTCTCTGTTATGAGTCTCAGAGTGAAAGGTTATATTGGTAGAGTGTGATTTATAAGCCAACTAAATATCCTTTCCATACAAGATGTCTTTTGAGGAGAGTTCTATTTAGAGAGTTTGTAGTCATGATATCCTCCTAACCAAATTCAAAGAAACCGGCTAGAGAGCGAAATATTTCAAAGAAGAAAAAGGAGTTATGCAGTGTTATTGGATCTCCGTAATGTTTTAGGGACTCGTCACTGTACTTGTAAATAATTAACTTTGTTGGCGTGGATGTGAATTCAAATCAATACAAGGACCGGTCTACGAGCAAGAGGGGTGAGGCTAGAGCCCTAGGGGCTAAAGGTTCGGTGGAGTGGGATGAAATAGAAGTACGGAGGGTAATAAATCTTGACGCCAGAGCTCCGTACGGAGCATAACGGAGTCTGCTTTGAGGACACCAACATTCCGACTTGACACTTGGAGCAGCCTACCTAGGGTATGTGGGAGCACGGTGGTGTTCGCTTAGGCGTACCTTCTATCATTTCCTACTTATGCTACTCATGATAGAAGGGACGACTAGCTATTGCGGAGCCAGACGCTCCATTGAGACTGTAAGGTGAGGTTAGGTTGTACGTGCTTCTCCACCTCTTTCAATCCCATTCCCATCCCTTTTCGAGTTCGGTCACGGGTACAGATTTTTTTCCCGTTTGGATGGGAGGTCAAAATGATATTTACTCCACGACTTAATAGATTAGTCAGACTACTTTTTGGCTTGCTAAACTTTCTGCAACGCGTGAAACATTTATTCTGCTCCCTTATGTTCTCAATATCAATTTAAATTAACAAATTTTGTGCTTATTAAAAAATATTTTTCAACTTGTAAATTTAATTTTACCATTTTTATAATTAATGGCAATAATAAATTTTTATTTAAAAATTCAAATGACAATACGTAAACAATGAGTGAAATTGAAAAAAAATAAAATTATTCTAACTTTGACTTATACTTAACAATAAAAAATCCTTCTCATGCTAAAGACCGGAGCAGCATTAAGAAATGGTTTTTTTAATTTGCTACATATATTCTCCTTTTAAAAATAATCATATTTGAAGAACTATCAGGTATTAAATGTTAGCATTTATATCTATGCATTAAATGCAAGAAAATGAATCTTAAAAAAGAAAACACAGGTCTCATGTTTACAGCAAGATTAGTGGGAAATGCATGGTGAATTGGTGACTGTATCCAACTATGGGCTTTCACACAATTTTTAGTCTCAAGGTTTAGTGTCTCAAAATAATTCTGAGTAGATATTAATGAATGTTCAGTGTACAAGCATTGCTCAGGTCAAAAAAAGAAGACACATTCAATATATGCGGAGCTGGAAGGACGCGTGGAGGTGGGTTGGAGCAAAGGCCAATTTAGGCTCGTGGGTGCCAGGGAGAGAGCGAGCAGAACGACAGAGATTCCTGAGCGTGACCCCATCCCCCACCTTAAACATGTTAGTGGGACCCTCTTGCCACCGCGGAACATCAAAGATAGGCCTCTCTCGTGCTGACACGCGTTCAGGCCTCCATCACTGCCAGCCCAGCTTCACCTCTTCGCATTGTCTCTAGCTGTCTAGGCCCTTGCACTCCTGTGGATGTTGAGATTGACATGCATGCGCGCACTGCAGCCCCCTTGAGCTTCGTCAAAAAATTATCTTGCTCGGTGGAAAGCGACCTCCTTTTATTTTAATTACAGCTTGATTTGCTTTGGCCGCGACCATGTTGTGTCTGTTGATTTGTCAATTTGTGGGCCGCAATTCACTGACCCGTCTTTATGTCATCCACACCCTTTGATTCCTCTAATTTGGATCCTTGTGACGAAATTTTGCGCTGCCCGAATTTTATGTGGTAGCTCCGATCCCCAGAGAAGGCAATCTTTTGCATTTCTTACCCCCAAAATGGCCCCTGCCAATTAAATTTCGTGTCACATCTGTTATAAGTTATGGCCTTTGAGCACCACATATGGTTGCCGTTCCTGCATCTATTCTGCATGCAACATTAAGCTATCCTTTTATTATAATTATTAGTATTATTATTTGTCATTAAAGAACAAAAAAGAGCAAAGATTTTAATGGAGTCCATGTGTCTGTCTATAAATGATCTCATCACCGTAGCCTCTGGTGTGTCAGCATATCATTGTTGACTCTGAACCGAGAACCAACCAATCCAATTATTTTCCAAAAACACTTTTGGTTTCTTTGGCTGATTTATCAACCACTGTATGTTTTTGTTAATAATGCACGTGTCATGTTAGTTCTTATTCATGGCTTTTATGTGGATATTCATCCAAATGTTGCGTGTTCCCACGCTTCCAGCTTTCCCAAAACAACATGTTCATTCTCATCTATAATACAAATCATTATTAATTAATTTATATTTTTTTAAAAAAAATTAGTTAATATCTTGACTTTCTAAAATTTTTTACATCTTTTCAATTATACCTTTAAAAATAATAAATATAGCAAATAACTTATTTAAAATGTCCTCATTGTTGAAAAAAAAATATTAAACACCTATCTAGTGCTTTGTACTGTGAGTTAAGCAAAACTTTTAAAAAATAATTTATATTGTGATTTGAAGGAAGTATATATTATATCATAAGCTTTTGTCTCACACCCTCTACTAATGTTTTCTTTTAATTTTAAAAAAAATTATATATGACAAAGTTCATAGATTTAGTTGTCAAAGACAATAATAGATTATCATAAATAATTTCCACTAAAAAATACAAAATATATCTATCTTTAATAGGTTTTTAACGGCCAAGCGGTACTGTATTATTTTACATCACTTTTTTATATTATTCATGGCCTGCTTGATTCCACTTATGAGTAATGGATAATTGTATTAAAAAAATTAGTCCAATTCATCTTTCAATGATCCTAACTCTTAATTCACACAACAAAACTTTTAGTAAAAAACATACAAAACTTAAATATTTGAATAATTTTAATTTGGTGTTATTAAACGTATTTGAGTTTTGGGAAAATTTTAATAAGAAAACATTGACCATAGTTAATAGAAAAGAGAAACCCATAAACTCTGAAATTTTACTGTAGTCCAAGAGCATGCAATGAAATTAAAATGCTTACGAAAATGAGAAAATCAATTCTCTCCACAAAACATACCCAGATGATGCAAACACGAGTTGTTCATTTTCCTACTATCTATTATTCATTACCCTACAGTAAGTTGTTTATTGTCCTACTGCATGTTGTTTGTCCATTACTTTCAACTAATTTCATTTCAATTATTGTCATTATGCTAACATGAGTTGTTCATTTTTTTACATACTATTATTCATTATCTTACATTAAGTTATTCATTGTTGTACTGTTTGTTGTTCATCCATTACTTTCAATTGATTTCATTTCAAGTGTTGTCATCATGCTAACATTAATTGTTGATCTCTCTACATACTATTGTTCATTACCTTATATTAAATTATTTATTGTTCTACCGTCTGTTGTTTGTCAACTACTTTCAATTAATAATTAACTTTTTTCTTTTATACAGGATAATAAACAATAGTATGTAGAAAAATGAATAACTTATAAATGAGGATATCTAGGTAATTTTCTTCAACATCTTAATTTCATTGCAGGACCTTTGAATTATAGTAAAATTTTAGAATTTATAAGATTCTCCTTTTTATTAGCTATAGTCAAGTGGTTTTTATTAAAAAAATTTCTTGAGTTTTTCTATAAGACTAAAATAGGCAAAACATAAATCCCGTGGGTTGCATGAAACGTGAAAAATGAACTGTATTATTCTAGCGTAATTAAAATATAGATGAGATATTAGTAAATAGGATGCATATACTAATTAATAACGCATCGCAGGCATAATATTTTGGCGGTCAATTGGTCCCCAGGAAAAAAAAAATAGTGGATTAGTAAAGGCGGAGAAGGGCGGAGTAAATGAAAGATAATAGTGATACCGCAACAAAGATGTCGTTGTCTCGGGAGCATAAACCATACGGAGACGTGGAAAAATGAGGTGTCGGGTGAGATGATGAAGGTAGAGGGCGTGTTAGTAGGCATGACAGAACCAACAGAAATGTGTCGCGTTGAAGAAGTTAAAACTACTTCCGCCTTCCATATCCCCTCCCTCTTATCTCTCTCCCCTCCCCATGTCTGCTCTAATCTCTCTCTCTTTTTTTTTAATTTTAATTTTAGTATTTTCATTTTAAATTTTATGATACTTTAAAAAAAATTATCTTAAAATATAAGATTTTTTGAGTAAAATTTTTTTGACCAAAATACTTTAAATGGATTAAATTTCATTAAATACATCAATTTTAATATTATCTTTCCTCCCTTTATAATTAATTTTCACCTTCTCTCTTTTCAATATATTAAATAATAGGCATTTGTAGAAGTTTATATTTTTATTTTAAAAATATAAGATTGTTAAGTGTATTTAATGAAGTTTATTGATATGTGAAATTTTATTTAAAAATGTTTTATAATTTGAGACGAAAGAAGTAACATGTTTCATTGAGAAAGTATTAAATTTCATTAATTCCAAATAAAAATTCATTAAGTTTACAATTATGTTCCAATAAAACATAATACTCCCTCTATCTCAAATTATAAGATACTTTTAAATAAAATTTAACATACCAATAAACCTCCCTAAATATACTTAACAATCTTATCTTTTCAAAATAGAAATATCAACTTTTAAAAATATTCATCATTTAATATATTAAAAAGAAAAAAGATGGGGATTAATTATAGAGAGAGAAAAGATAATATTAAAATTGGTGTATTTAATGAAACCTTAATTTACTTAAAGTATCTTATATTTTGAGAGGGAGAAATTCCTTTAAAAATAATCTATAATTTGGAGCAGAAGGAATACTGTATATATTTTAAAAATAAAATATTTTATTTAATAACTTTCCTAACATTTAATGTGGGCAAAAGAATATAGATGAATCAAAAAATTATGTAGGTTCTCTTTAGATAGAATCAAAGCAAATACTCTTTTCGTATCTTATAAATAAGTAGGTATATATATAGGAGTATAAACATAAGATGATTGTTTTGTGCTCTTGATGTCCATTTCAACCCTATTTCCGCACTCTTTCTCATTCCTCCAACCTCTTTTACCCAAGTTAAAGTTATATTGAATCCTATTATCTTTTACTTTCAACCATATTTTATTTAATTATGGTTTCCCAAGTTAAGAACGTATCATTTGATAATTATCTAACTTTATATTTCCTCCTCTACGCATGTATCCTTTGTTCTCGGCCAATGCTGGGGTGTATGCGTATAAACTGACACCAACTCCCATGTCGGAAACCCTGCTCCTGGGCTTGTGTATAATATTTCTTTCATTTTTAAATTTTACTTTTAATCATAATATTAAAAACACACAAATAGGGACGAATCTAGAAACAACTCTATAAAAGGCCAAAATACAAAGTTATATAATTGTGAGGGCAAAAATTAGTTTTAGCATTTTTTCCAAATAAAAACAGCATTTAAAAAAAATTGTGGCATGGGGGCAAGTACTCCGATGTTCCATATATAATGTGCATTATAGAAGATAAAGTTGATTCAATTAATAAAGTATTATGTCAAAATATCAAATGAAAATTTTAACACATCTAATAGCTTCTGTCAAAGTTAAGAAGATGAATATAATTATAATTGAAATATTTAGGCCCTGTTTGACGTGTGAGAATCCTACATGTGAAAACAAAATTAAAATTTGGATTCCCAACAATTCACATTCTAGCAAAAATGGAAGAATCTAATTCCATCACCAATATGATGAAATTGGCTCATTTTCCATGGAATCGTGCTTGGGACATTTCGGCCCTCGCCATCATCACCTTGTCTTCCTCCAACCTAGCCTCCCGACTCACGAGCTGCTCATGTTTCTTGGCCTTCTCGAATGTGACTTAAGATTAGCATCACATGCGACTATCTTATCCAAACCTAGCCTTCCCACCTTCTCCTCCTCTTGCTGTTGTTGATGATTTAGCAAAAATGATGAAGTGTCCAACATTGACAAGAATAGTCCACTGCTCAAAAACTAGTGAAGGGGACTTTATGGCTCTGGCCATGAGATCGACACCATTGGCATCTGCAAGTTGTCCAGTCTCGCTCCAGTCACCTATTGCACCATTAGATGGAAGTTCATTGGGTTAGCTACTATGAACATTGTCTATGACCTCTTTAATGCGTGCGACTTCTGCTTCAAAACCCTACTTGTGGCAGATGGGATTGTGATTTTCAAGCGTTTTGGCATTGTTTATTGGTTTGAACCAGGGAGGCCCAAAATAGTGGAGGAGATGCTGACAATGGTAATTGAGTAGATGTAGCAGAAGTGGTCGTGGGTAGGGCTGCAAACAAAAGATGGGATGAGTGTTTTTTTTTAAAAAAAATTGGAATGAACACTTTGCTCTTTTCTTATTTTAAGTAAATATACTTATTAAAATTATATTAGGATTTGATTATCATTCCAAGAACATTTTCAAAGCCCAATTATATTCTAATTTTTATTTCTATTCCAATTTCAATGACACAAAAACTCATACATTATACCAAATGGGGCCTTAGATGTTTTCAGACAAATAAATTGATGCAACAATTTTTCTTAATTGACATTAAAATGTTTGAAACATCTTATCGTAAGGATTAATGGGAGTATAAATTATACTTAGAAGGAATATTTCTGAAAGAAAGTATTCCCCCATCCCAATTTATATAATATTTTTAGACAATTTATGAGTATTAATAAAATTTATTAAATGTACTTTACAATATCATTTTTTAAATATAAATTTAAAATTTTAAAAATACTTGTCATTTAATACAACTTTATAACTTTATTTGTGAAATATTAAATAGAGATAAATAATATAATGAGAAGGATATTATTAAAATAAATTTAATTAATAAAATTTTATTTTTATTAAAATATTTTGTATTTGCGATATCGAATCACATATAAAAATGCTTTATAAATTGCAAGAAAAAGAGTATTAATTATACAAAAGAAATTGCATGAGTATATTTAAGTATGAAGGAATTATGAAGATTCATGAATGATGGAGGTCATTTTTCATAGTTACAAGTAAAATGGTGTTTCTTCCGTTAAAAAATATAAAGTATTTTTTAAAAAGTTAAATGTTAAAAAATATAAAATATTTTTATTTTTTTAAAATGTAATTATTATTATTTTTTAAAGTGTCTCTACTAAATAAATTACTTTATATTTATTTTATGGCAAAATATCTTATTAAATGAGAGTAGATATAAAAAGACAATATTAATTTAAAAATAAAAAAATATAACTTTTAGCTCATATACTTTATTCGTGTTTTGTTAGAGTTTTGAATTCCTAGACTTTCATTTTTAATGTTTTATGATTATTAAAAATTTCTATACTTTTTTTATTTTAATTATTTAGAAATTTAAAATATTAAAAAATAAAAATTTAAAATATTAAAAAAATATATAAATTTATAACAAAATACGTAAATCAAACTTTATGTTTTTTGTATAAAAAATTCATTAATTTATTAAAGAATAAAATTTAATTAAAAATATGTTATATTTTTAAAGTTATATCAAAAAGCCATTTTTGTGCTTTCCATCATTGTCGGGTGCGATGTGAGGTTTTGAGTTTAGTTTATATAATATATAAATATATATATATATATATATATAAAGAAAGGACAGTGGTGACTATTGAGAGAGTGACAGACAAGTGACGAGGGGGATGAGTCCTCATGAGAGAAACCATTTCCACGACGACCGCTTTTCCCTACGCTTCGTCCGACCAAAAAATCGCGGGCCCTCACTTCACTGCCAAACCTTCTTCACGCTCCTTCTGGCGCGTGCATCCGCTGGCTGCGCCCAGAATCTTTTATCTTTTCCCCTTCTCTCTCTCTTCCCCCTCTGTACAGGGCAAGATAAAATCCTAATTTTGCGTCAAAATATTATTAATGATGATAATAACAATAGCAATACCAGCTGCTTTTAATTGCCTTTGGTGCTATCCGGAAACAGAGATGTATGAAGTGCGTTTTTTTGTCAACTTATGACTGGAGTGCAGTGGTGGGGGATGTTCAGTCATCGGTGAGCAGTGCTATAATTGCCATTCGTACCTACTGCTTCCTGAGACACCACAATTGCCGAGTTTAAAGTTTGATACTCGCAAATATTTTCTGACATTATATTATACCCTCGCATATTGTTAATTACTACCATCTTCGCCGGAATCCGTAAATTTCCTTTCCCATTTTATTATTAATTAATTATTAATTTTAATTTTAATTATCCGGGTTGATATATTTCTTCGGCTGAGAACTCGGCTGTTGGTTTTGTTAGGTGTGGGAGAGAAGAGAAGAGAGATTCTTCGAGATCTGGAACCAACATGGGACACCATCAGGTGAGGAAGCTGCGGCCTTTTTCTTTGTTTGTTTTGTTTTTTTGGTTCAGTTCGATGAGCTTCTTCGTAGCTTTTTTCTTTTTTTCAGAGACGGGCTGCTTCTAAATTTGCTTTATTCTAAGCAGTGCTCGTAAGTCTCTGGATGGTTGTCTCCGATTCTTCTTCTTCATCGTCTGCACTCTCGTGGACAATCTACTACGAATGGCGTGCATGGAAGGTGGTTTCTGAAATAAGGGGAAGTTGGTTTCTTTTGTTGGAGGAAAGTTTTGATTGAAGCGTGGAATCGACCGAGGTTTCTCCTCCTTTGCGGCGCTCAAAAAGGTAAAAAAGTTCTCTTTGCTCTCTTTCCCTTGTTTTACTTATTCCTCAAAATTAAAGGAAGCGGCTAAATTTATTATTAGTTTCTAATTGTTAAACGCACTTTGGATCGTTTTGATTCTCCCCTCGCAGCATTTACTGAGAGAATCACAGAGCCTACAAGCCTTCAATTCCCTCGCCAAAAAGAGGAAAGAGGGCTGCTAACACTGTTTGATCTATTACTCCATTTTAAGGACTAATCATAAATGAAGGAAGTTGAGAAGAACTTGGATCCGCAACTATGGCACGCGTGCGCCGGAAGTATGGTTCAAATGCCTCCGGTGAACTCCAGAGTCTTTTACTTTCCTCAAGGCCATGCTGAGCACGCTCAGGCCAACCTTAATTTCCCCCCTTCCTTAAGGATTCCACCGCTCATGCTTTGTCGTGTGGTATCTGTGAAATTCTTGGCCGACCCAGAAACTGATGAAGTTTTTGCTAAGATAAGGTTGGTTCCTGCGAGAAATTCCGAGCTCGATTACGATGACGATGGGGTTACGGACTGTAATGGATCGGAGAATTCAGAAAAACCAGCATCTTTTGCCAAGACACTGACCCAATCTGATGCGAACAATGGTGGGGGCTTCTCTGTTCCAAGGTACTGCGCAGAAACTGTCTTCCCACGGCTGGATTACTCTGCCGAACCACCCGTGCAAACCGTGGCTGCCAAGGACGTTCATGGCGAAACTTGGAATTTCAGACATATATACCGGGGAACACCCCGTAGGCACTTACTAACCACCGGGTGGAGCACTTTCGTGAACCAAAAGAAACTTGTTGCGGGGGATTCTATTGTTTTTTTGAGGGCCGAAAACAGCGAACTCTGTGTCGGAATTCGCCGAGCAAAACGTGGTGGTTTTGGCAGCCGGATGCCAACGCTGTCATCCGGATGGCGCGGTGGTGCTGGGAGTGGTGTGGGGCCTTGTGGGGGCTTCTCTTATTTCCTGAGAGAGGAAAACAACTTACTGCCTAATGCTTGTGGGAATTCAAGCCCTGGAAGAGCTAAAGTGAGGCCTGAATCTGTGATGGAAGCTATGACACTGGCTGCAAATGGTCAGGCATTTGAAGTAGTTTATTATCCTCGAACTAGTACTCCAGAATTTTGTATTAAGGCTGCATCTGTGAGGGCTGCAATGAGAACTCAATGGTGTTGTGGCATGAGGTTCAAGATGGCCTTTGAGACTGAGGATTCTTCTAGAATTAGCTGGTTTATGGGGACCATTGCTTCTGTTCAGGTTGTTGATCCTGTGCGTTGGCCCAACTCCCCATGGCGACTTCTTCAGGTACTCTTTCTTCCCTACTTTGTTATGTTCCTTTCCCTTTTTAGCCAACATGTTGGTAAGCATTCTTACTATAATCCTGTTTGTTGATATGGGGCTCACTTTTCATGCTTCTTCGTTGAACTGTTCTTTGGTTTCTCGTAGTTTAGTTTTTTGAAATACAAATGAACTTGTCTGGGCATGCTAGTTCTGTAAATCAATGTGGGAGTTGAAATAAAATGCTTTAACAAAATGGATCTTATTAATCTATAACGCCTTAAGCGTTCCCTGTCACAACACACCTTCACTTTCCTTGAATTTCTATGACGCATGGGCAATTGTGAATTATGGTAATTCCCACAATTCTCATCATCTCATGTATCTCCTCCTATATCTATTTTTATAGATAACAGAAGGTTTAACCTTTAATCCTTCCAGTTTGGAAAGCCTAGGGTGCCCGATGTTGATTGCATTTGATGTTTGGTAATTCTTTCATAACCTTAGTCCTACTTTGTAAATGTAAATATCAACTGGCCTCTTTTTGGGGGAGAAGGAGGTGTTTTCTCTATCCATTTGATTGCATTCACTCTGGATTTTAATTCGAATTATTCTGGTAGATTAATTTTGTCATGCAATCTTGATTGATCATGATTTTTGATACAGGTTAATTGGGATGAGCCGGATTTGCTGCAGAATGTGAAGTGTGTTAGCCCATGGTTGATAGAATTGGTATCAAACATGCCAGTCATTCATTTCACACCTTTTTCTGCACCAAGGAAGAAGCTGCGGCTTCCACAGCACTCAGGGTTCCCGCTTGGTGGTCAATTCCCAATACCGACATTTTCAGGCAACCCGCTTGGGCCTAGCAGCCCCTCGTGTTGTCTATCTGGTAATGCTCCTGCAGGCATACAGGGAGCCAGGCATGCTCAATTTGGAATATCTCTTTCAGATCTCCACCTTAACAATAAACTGCAGTTGGGGTTGCTTCCAACTAACATCCAACAACTTGATGTACATCCTGGGATGTCCAACGGCAAGATAGCCAACAATGGCGAGAACAGCCAAAACTTGTCTTGCTTGCTGACAATGGGAAATACTTGTAAGAGTTTGGAGAAATCTGATAATGTTAAGAGACACCAGTTTTTGCTTTTTGGTCAACCAATACTCACTGAGCAACAAATTTCTCATAGCTGTTCTAATGATAAGTTGTCTCAGAATGTTACTGAAAAAGATTTGCCAGAGGAAAATAATGACAAAACAAAGTGCAAATTTAGTGATTCACAATGTGGTCTTTCTCAGCAGCTTTCACCTGGAAAATCTTCTAATGTTGAGTATTCTTGGCAACTAGGCTTGGGTAATGGCCATTGCAAGGTTTTCATGGAATCTGAGGATGTGGGGCGGCCCCTTGACCTATCGCGACTTGGTTCTTATGAAGAGCTGTACAGAAGACTGGCCAATATGTTTGGAATTGAAAGATCTACAATGTTGCGCCATGTGCTCTATTATGATGCATCAGGTGCTGTAAAGCGAACTGGACTAGAACCCTTCAGGTATCTTGTGTTGCTTTTTCTCACGCAGTTTCTACTTTCAATCATCATCTTATCTTTTTCACCGAGAACATTAACCTGTCTCTGTCATGAATATCTAGCTTGTATATTTCAGTCATATATTTATTGTGTTTCTGTTTATCTGGGAGCGCCCTGCAGTGACTTCATGAAAACAGCAAAAAAATTGACAATTCTGACCGATTCAGGTAGCAAAGAGTTTTAAAATTCTAAGGTGAGAGCTTGCTATACCTTCATATTCCAAGTCATCGTTTCGATCTTGTGGGATCTAATTTCTTCTTCATGTCTGTGGTATGATCTGCTTGACGTTTTTATGCCCTATCTAACCGGTGACCAATAAGGGTTTTTCTTTTCTTTTTCTTTTTCTCTTTTTGGGAATTGGAACTGTTTTTCTGGGTGACTCAATCTGTTTTACGGGAATCCACATGGAACAGGTGCGTCAAACGAAATCAAAGAGGTACTCCCAGCGTTTGCGCTTGACGTGGTGTGGCATGAGGTGTGAGCAGAAGGTGAAGGGCATAGATTTTGAAGTGGCTGAATATGAACTGAATCTTCTATCAACGTTGGCATCTTCGTTTTCTTCGTCAAGTCTACATGTTCCAATAGTAGTAGTGCCCATATCATGTAAATTAACTATTGTCTGCAATGTTATAATTATTATCATCACCATTTCTGCGAAGCCCTTTTACTTTGGGAACGGATTCCACCCAGTGCCATGTGATTAGCGAGGACTCATTCTATCTGCATAAAAGACCATGTGTTCAGAAGTTTGTAGTAGGATGAATTTGATTGAAAAGATTTGGAAGTTATTGGCAATTTTATTTTTGGATTAAGATATAATTTTGCTTTTAAATTATTCATCATGGTAATATCTATCTTAAACTAATTAAATTAGAGTAATGTTGCATCTATCATTTAACGCACAATAACATCTGTTAAGATGAGGCAAGTGGTTCTCATTTATTTGGCACATGTGGCAGTGAGTTATTCGACAGTTAATGACATGGTTGGAGTAAGTAGAATAATGAAATGAGTCATTAAAAGTTTAAACTAATCTTAACTCCTCTTCCGCCATTTTTGTAGCAAAGGAAGGGCTTTATTGTGATTCGCAGGAAACAATGTGGAAACTCAACTTCGACGGCGAGTAGATTGAATGGGTGATTTTGCTTCATCATCAAGGAGTAAGAGTAAGAGTGGTTTTTTTTTTTTTTTTTAAGGCAAGGACATGGAAAAGTGGTATATAAAGTTCAACCAAAATTGTGAAATGGTGGCCTCAACGTGGACTTCTTGGACACCAGAGTAATCTTAGGCGAGGCTTCTATGATTGTTGAAAATATTATTTGGTATTTTTTTTTTTTTTGAGGTATTGATGATTCTCTTCTTTGGTCTTAGAGGGTGTGTGATCATGTTTGTCGTGACAAGGGGTGGTTGTAGTCTCTTTATGTGGAACAACGGTGATCTGGGACAAAGGTTGAAGGTTGTTATTAATGAGATGGTGGGTCACATTAAGATGTTGTCCAAAGAAAATGAGATGCTAAGATGAAGAATAGAGATTATAGTTTTCAATGCAGAGCTTGATTCCATTCATAGAGAGTTGAAGGAGACAAAGTTTAAACAAAGAAGGAAGGAAATGAATCTGGTAGACCAGAGGAAAAAACTCAAGATAGCTATCACAGCATTGTTGTGTTCTTGGTTTTTTTTTTTTTTTTTTAGTTATGTAAATGAACAAGTGGTTTTCCACAAAGAATGAATTAATGGCATTTTTCTTATGGAATTGATAGCTTTGGTCTCTTTGTTAGTTTGAATGATTTATCTTTGTTCTTGCACATTCTTAAAGTAAATTAAAAATGGTTCCTTAATAGAGAGATAAACTTACCCTTATGGATACAATGATTACTAAGTTGCAAAACACAAGTTAAACAAAGAACAAAGTAAAATAAAATGACTATCAACAAAAATTACACTAACCCTGTCACAAAAAAATTGAACTCATAGAAGCTACAAAACTAACCCTACTTGAAACATTGCAAACATGATGACTTCATAACAATCCTTGCTTCTTTTTGACTCCATAACAGGCCAATGTGACTATTACTCATGAAGTAAAGCATCGACCTAAAGCATGCATAAGAGCTGAATAACACAGGCTATCATTACATGTAAAAGTAATATTACATTAATATATATATATATATATATATCAATAGTGTAAAATTTGCTTACTTAAACTCCATTAACTGCCAAATTCATGGTAATCAAGGGTTTAAACCCAATAAGGATTACCAAGTTTTTCAAATTTGTACAAATGAGATCTTAAGTTTTCATAATGTAAAATACTCCCATAAGTCATCAAACATTCACAAATCAAAGTTTAAAACTTATGTGGAAGCAGAAAATCAAGAAAGAGTCAAAATATTTGTATATCAACTTCAAAACAGTGAACTATACAAAAAGCAACATATGCACCAAGGCTTAACGCTCCTGCGTCATGATTTGTTGCCTCTATGTCATGTGCCGCGGCGCATTGCATGAATTTGATAGCAAATTTTATTGTCATATGGTAGCACCCGAGACAAACTTCCAATGCATCCCATTTTTTTGTCCAACATCCAATTGAGGTGATATAAATGTCTATAGAGATCTTTCTCTTAACTCTAACTAATGGCATATGTTTCACAATCAAATCATTTTTATATCAAAAGTTGGATACCCTTTTCAAAACTCACTTCTTTTTCACAAAAACTCCCAACTAAGGTGCTGAAACTCGAACACATGTGCCAAAAGCCTATATCAACTCTTAGACCACACTTAATGATTATTATAGACTCATACAACACACTATAATCAATCAATTACACATATTACACAAATTCACCACTCAGCCCTTTGATTCACAAAAACAAGAAAGGGGAGATAATTTGCATAAAATCATTAATATCCATCCAAAAAACAATCAATTGCACTTTACCTTACTTACACTAGTATTTCAGCCCTATACAAGCTTACAATCACATATCACTAATTTAGGGCACAAAATACAAGATTTTCTCAACTATAATACAAATAATCAAAATAATGGAATAAAATTCTAGTTGGAAAATTAACAATGTTTAATACATATGATTAAAACTAAGAGGTTTATAAGTAGGATTTACTCAAAAATTCTATAGCTCCGGTCATTTTCCTCAATCTTGATTCGATAAGCTAGCCTTGAAATATTGAATAATGGGTGAGTATAACTATTTAATAACTAAGGTCAACCTAGCATATACAGTTGCATATCAATTAATTAATATGCAAATGGCAATAAACTCAATCTCATTTTACACAAAATCACATATAATCTCGGCCATAAAAATAACAATCATGCGACTGGACATACAGCTCATATCATCAAATATTACAATTATGCACATCTTAAGGTCACAAAAATAACAATCATGCGCCCCTAAAACACACCAGACCACAATAATAACAACTATATGGTTGGAACCAAATGCATGATCAATGCTAACCTTATACCCTCTTGATACCTCCGACATGAAAACAGCGGCTATTAAGTGGCTACATCCACAACACGGACTAACCCAACTTTTCATTTGTGAGAAGCTATCAAGCCAGAGTTAACTTATTCACTCATATACTATGGTTTTCTCTAATACTAACAACCATGAGGTGTCATATCCATAATTTAGCCTCCTCATAAATTGATGGAGACTAATTAGGTTTGAGTTCTTTAAAGAACAAGTAGGACAGTTTTGAATCAACCATAAGACAAAAGCTACCTCTTAATTTCAACAGTTGATGCCAAGACAAGGTTCTAATTTCAATGGTAAGTTGCGAGTACCCCATGTATTTGCCAATCTACTCCTCTCCCTAGGCGAAACTCCTACCAATAATTATGTTATGCACATATTGACACTTAATAAGTCATTTTAACACAAATCATAATCTCATATCATATTCACATAATTTTCTCGCTTCAACATACTCTACATGATAAATATTGCATATTTCTCATTTTCACAATATCATGCTTTCTAATCATCATTACTAGTCATATATGTAAATAACAAGCATATGATTCACCATAATGCAAGACAATTCCACGCATATATATAATCACATTGCCAACATTTGTATTAATAGTTTACAAATACCAAACAAGTTCTAAATCATCAAATTCAATAAATAACTAATTAATAAACAACTATACAAACTAAATTTTTCCTTAGTTACCTTAAACCTTTGAGAGGTCAAAGGTTCAGCCTTTAAAATACCAACTTTCAAATCTTCTTCTCAAGCTTGAATGATGCCAAATGATTAATCTACAATTATATCATATGGACATTTATTAACATCTCTCTTTGAGTATTTTTCCCAACATTTAACTCCATATTCTCATTTCATCAACATCATAAACCCACTCCCAATCATACCTAATAGGTTTAATAAATTCCAACAACTTACTTTATTATTAATGAACCATTAAACCACCATTGATGGCCATCAAATTCTCTCAACAACCTTATTTATTATCATTTTTAGATATTAATGACCCCTCAACAACCAATAATTCACAAGACTATAAATGTAGGGTTTACATACTCTAAATAACTCTCATTATCACTATTTTAGCCATTGGGTTTAGACCCATAGCTCATATGGACTGAAAATTACTCTCCCAACTCAAACTCTAACTTTAATCTTCATAAAAATAGGAGGAAAGGGGAGGGAGAAGCATAATGTACTTACCTTGGGTGTTAGAAGGCTTCAAAATGCCTTTAATGGTCCCCACATTCGTGCCTTCGCAGAGCAATGGGTGTGCTCCTCGTTCCTCCCCCTTCTTTCTTCTAATTTCTCAAATAGATACAAACTAGTTTAAGTAGAATTTTGGCCGTGCACCACAGTGCATGGTACAAAGAGACCCACCCTTCATTGGTTGTCTCTATATTCCATAATAAGTGTCCCTTACACTGTGGATGTGGCACAGAGAACCCTTTTTCAATTCTTTCTCCCCTTTTGATGCTTGAATGGCCCGACCTCACCTCGAACTCATATTTAGGACCAAAATCATAATTAAACACACTTTTTAGACCTCTCTAGCCATACACCACATCATTAAACTAATTACCCTAATTAAACTTAGTTAATTAGGTTTAAATTTTTAGAATGTTACAACTCTCCCTTCCTTTTAAGAACTTTGTCTCTTAAATTTGATTAGACACAAAAATCATACCTTATTAGAAGGCCAAAATACTATACCCATGAAATTATCTAAACAAATATGCATTTGGTTAAACACCTTTCTTCCTTTCTCTAGCCCTTCCTTACTTAGCTCCACATTGACATCAAATTCAAGGTTTAAGGTTTTAATTTCTTCACAGAAGATTTTAAGGTTGGCATACTCATCTTTGTAACTACTTCCAACTCACTCGTTATCATCCCCTTCGCCCTTTTACACTTGAATATACTCACCTTAACCTTATATTGCAATTTGCAACCTCTCTTACACTTTCTCCTTGAAATAGTCAGCTATCCACTTGGGCGATGCCTTTGGATTCTTAAAAACCTTAAGGCATCTATGATCTATGTGTAGTGTCCTTAGTTTGAGCCTTAGAGTGCATTTACCTCCTACTGTATATAAGAGAAATGGGCAGCCCTTTTCACACTTTGTCCTTACCTTATTAGTTTCACTTCGAATAAGTTACAGATTCACACCCTCCCTTATAGCATACCTATTAAGAGCCCTCTTTACTCCCTCATTATCACTATATGTCATACCCAACATAAACATGGGCCTACTCTCATCATCAAATTTCTCTTTGTACCCCTCACCTTCAAAAGCTTTATCACTGCTTTGTTCATCTTCTTGAGCATTGTAATTTGAACCCTTATTAGTAGAAGTACTACCTTCTTCACTATCATTGCTATATTCCTCTTCACCCTTACTCATACCTTCTTCTTCATTGCTACCTTCCTTACTTGCCTCATCATCATTGTCTCCATTATCACACTTAATCACAGAGTCTAAATAAACATTTAAATTCTATGACTTAGTTCCCCCAACCTTTGTTCACCCAACATCTCTTCCCCCTTCATTTATTTCCAGGTCCCTTGAGATATATGGTTCTTCTTTATTACCCCAACATTCATCTACATATATTAGGTCATTCTCGACTACTTCTTTTCCCTTCCCTAAATCTCAACCAAACCCATTACTACCTACCTCTCCTATTTTTAAATCATATAAACAACATGTACCAAACAAACGACGACGATGATCAAGCTAAACATCCCTAGCACATTCCATTACACTACATACCTTGAAAAGATTGGTCACATCATTGTCATCATTGCTACTGTCTTCATCACTATCAATGGTACTGTCAAATGCATCGTCAGATGCTCCATCATCTTCTACATTCTTATGTGCCCTACCCTGATTATCTTCACCATCATACATTTCTACAGGAACAAATAAAAAATTCAAGGGCAAATGTGCAATTTCACATTGACAAAACAACAAAAAAGAAAAGATGAGCCTAGAAATTCAAGATTCATTACTTATATCTCAACGTGAGCAACCTCTACTTACCTTCTTTGCTGAGCAATATTTAGAAATCACAGGTGATTCTCACTCATCATCCTCCATACCTTCAATCTGAGCTTCTTGTGATCTTTCAAATTCTTTCCACTTTAGACAGGTTAGAGTATTTGGGTTAGGGGTCCTGCATTTTATCCTCAAACAAATGACAATTTCAACTTTCATCATTCAGTCCACTCATCCATATTGGATGCCACATGGCAATGACTAGTCAAACTTCTTACTTTCGGACCATTTAAACAGCAAAGCCTTTGTGTTTTAAACAGCGGGAGCAACATTACTGCAATTTAATTAGTTTAAGAGGCACATTACTACAATAAATAGTTTAAAAGTAAAATTGTACTTTAACCTTTATTCTTTATTGTCAGAAAATTATACCCAGCAGGGAGCTCTTTCGTCAAAGAAGACCATGATCAATTATAGAAGAAAGTGAAACCTCGTAGTTGCAGAATAATGGCAGTTGCTATATTTCTTATATGGTTTGAATGAAGTATTAGGACATTTTTGTTTCTTTAACCGTGATCATAATGAAAGTCGATAAATATTAAATTGCAGAACAGCGTAGGTATCAGTTTAACAGTAAGAAAATATTAACCAACAACCCCACTTGGGACCTGAGAATCCAGAAACATGATGGGGATAGCTGTGGAATTCTCACGTGTTCCCAAGAAAGAAATTGCAAATTAAAGTAGTGATATTTGATGGGCTATGTTGCATGAGGGGGTCTTGTAAGAGGGAGTCTGCGCGAGACGTTGGAGAGAGACGGTCTTGCCATTTGCCAAACCAACCTAAATCTTAGCGCTTTTTAGGAGTCCCAAGAAAAATTCACACGTGGGGCTGAGTGGGACCAACGTTAAAATGAAAACAAGAGATTCATCTGCAAGCAAGCAATGCTCCAACTGAGTCGTCGTTTTGATGGATGGGCCTTTTTGAATTTGACTCTTGCTCTCCTTCCCCTCTTAAGTCTTACCTGCCTCCCCTGCTGCTTACGTCTCTCCCATATCATCAGTATTAACATCTTGTAAGATCAATAAGAAGCTGCGCTAACAAATAATACAAGTTGATTCATCAAATGAGACTAATACAAGTTGGTCCATAATTTGCTATGGCGTCATTGAAAAATGAGGTAGCGTCATAGACATCAAGACAGACAATAAAGGTTTTTAGTACTCCCTCCATGTTTTAAAAAGTATATTTTATCCCATTTTTAAGTTAATGATGTGACATTTTAGATAATATTTAAAAAATATTTTTAAATTTATTCTTCATAAAAAAAAAAAAACATAATATCACTTTTTAAATTTATTATATAAAGATATATTAGGAATTATATACATTTTTATTCTTCACACTTTTTTTATATTGATATTAATAAAGTTGATAAAAATAATTTATAAAGGCTTCTTGGTGATGCATGCAATGCGCACCAAACGAGAGGGTCAATAATTTTTAAACGCGAACAGCCCGCACCATTGTCATTCTGGCACTACTTTCTATTTATAAAACATAGTTATTACTCAAGAATTTTATGGGATTCACTCATTGTATTCTTCCAATTAAAGCATCTTTATAATCAACGCAGAAGCCCTCTAGCTTCGTGCTTTAATCAAAGATGAAAGCGAAACCAGTACAACTCTAAATAAATTCCCATAAATGAGGGGGATACCCATGAATCACGTACAGCAAGGCAAAACTAAAAACAATGAACAAAGCTTGATATCTAACGAACGGGAAGAATAGAGACACATTAATCGGAACGAAAATACACTGTACATAAATTTGCTGCATGGGCCCTTGCGAGCCTAGAACGGGGTACATTAGCCACGGTCCGACTATTCATACAACAGAAGCAAAAGATTAACCACTATTCCATCTCACTCCAGAACAGCAACCTCTTGATCAACCCTCCAGTAATTTGCGTCGTTGAATTCCTTCATTCCACGTCCGCCCTCTTCAGAGTTATCCTTTTCTGGCACTTTTGGGACTACGTTTCTTTTCAATGGTCCTGCTTCCCCGACTATTCCTTCTTTGAGAGCCTGCTCCATAGCTTTCTCAGTACCTTCTAATTCCACACCAACAAATTCAACATCATCTTCAAAAAGGGAGGGTACTGCTGCCGATTTTTGACTCAAGTCCCCTTCCCACTCACTTGAGTCTCTAGGAGTTGGCATACCATTTGCAGGTGCGGATGAAGGTGAACAAGAATTGGGGCTGCCTAATTGAGATTTGAAGGATAGATCGCTGTCGGAATCATCATGATCAACGAAAGGGTTTGTGCTTGAACCAGGAACTTGCATATCTGATGGTTCAGCCCATCCCACCCAGTCAGGTAATGGCCTATCCCTAAACAGGTCCTTGTTTTCAGATGCCTCAAACCTGAAAAATCCCATATCATGTGCAGCACCTGCCTGCTCACTTTCGTTTAGAGTGCCACCATTCATGGATTTGCCATCACTTAATCCACTGAAGAAGTTTGTGCTCAAGTTGGAGGAGTCATTGGTGATATTTCTGCTTTCTGCCAATTTCTCTTCCTCCCCTACCACTACCTCATCATCACAACTGTTGTTACCACCATCTGTAGGTCCCTTCAAGTTAATCTCATCCATCATGTCAGATGGTGACGTTCCCCCAGGTGCATTACCATTTCTGTCATCTTGGAATGCAAGCCAGTTGGAGTTTGTAAATAGACCACTGCATTAAAAATAAATAAATAAACAATACAAGAAGCCCTCTTATTTCCATCTCGAAATGAAGATTTTTTTATAGAGAAACAAAACAGAGGTCCTAAGCTTCATTGCCAAGAGTTATTCAGCAAAATGATTGGGAAGAACATATCAAAATCTGGAAAGATATGTACTCAACAATAAATATACTGTTGTCCATATCAAAATCTGCATTTCCTTCTTCTGCAATAGTTTCAAAGGATGTCCCTTTCTAAAGATTTTGTGACTACACCCTCCACTATTCTTTGTAATTGTCTTGGTAAGAGCATAATAATGGTCAAGGAAAGAAGGGATGACAAGGGGACGACAAAGCACCTGGAAAGATATGTACTCAACACAGTAGACATGGTACTGGTCAATTAATCCTTGACTAGACCAAATTCCTCGACATAAATAACTATTCATGCACTAATATGGACTAACCTTCCCTGATCATCACCGAGTCTCAGAGATGATATGACTACTTCAGCAGAATCATCATCAAAGTAGACATCCTGCATAACATGCAATAAATTTATCGATGCATCAGCAAATCTTACAATGGCAAATTTATCAACAAATTTGTGTCGGCTGACATTTTATTTTAGCCAAGCTGGTTCTTGTTTTCCCTAAAAATGGCAAGATCAGCTAAAGAAAATTACTTTAGTGACCAATAATCACAGCCATTACCTCGTCATCTCGATCAAGCCCTCCATGGTCCTAAAACCAAGACAATCAAAGTATTAAACCACAATATAGGTTTTCCTGCTCATAGAACCCACCAATCAATAATGCCCAGCCCAGAAGGAAAATCTGAAAAAAAAAGTGGGGGGATTCAAGAACGAACATACATGCACACAAATGCATGTGCACATGCATGCACAGAGACGGGGAGAGGAGGCAGCGGACTACACACCTCTTCATTATCCTCATTTCCATAAATTTTGTATTTAAAAGCTTGGCTCAAATTATCTGCTAATGCTGCAACATCATAATCTCTATTATGAAGGTCATCATCACTATCCCTCATCCTATCATGTAATGCACAGGGGCGTCTGCACACAAAAACGGAAATAAAGATAGTGCCAATTGAGAAAGGATTCGCAACTTAAATGGGAGAATGTAGAGCAAATAGAAGGCACAAATTAAAGAACATTTGCACCAAGTCATAAAAAATAATAAGTAAACAAGCGCCACTTAAATATTAACTATTACAGCCATATCCAAAATATGCTGAGAAAAGTTACATATAATACTCATTAATGTAATATAGTTTTTCTTATGCTAAATCAATACATAACCAACCACAACTTTAGGTTACGTGTAGATGAATTCCCTATCCTTTAAACTAGAGAAAATCTCACTTTCATCTTCATTATTTATTCATGGGCATTGGGTCTTGCCTACCTTTAATTTATAAAATTTATAAAACCACAGAAAATATTAAACAGATACTACACTTTAAAAAAAAAAAAAACTAATCTTAGCCTTGCCAGTAATGCTTTTTGGAAAGCATTTAAGACAAACAAATAAGACTAGAGCTCACCCACAATCCCAACGATGGACATTCTCAACCACATTACGCTCTTGCAGAACTGCAGCTTGCCAATCATTCCACTCGCTGTCTTTCTGCACAAAAATAAAGGAAATCAAGTTGAAGTCTATTAAATAAGCTTGCCCTATATCAATCCTTGAGTAATACATTCACCAAGTATCTGCAAACCCTGGTCTAGTCAAGTTTTCTAAACATTGAAAAAGTCAAGGACATACAACCAAAATTCTCGAATCCCTCGTATAGAAGAAAATGGGCTTTAGTGGAAGATCATTAGAGGCAATATGAAAAGCAAAATGTTAAGGCCACACAATTTTTAAATCAAAAGATGAAATTTGATAGTCATATTTTATGGATCCTACACCTTTACACAAGTGGAAAATTTTCCATTGCTGCTTGTCAACAAAACTAAAAAACATGACCTTTAGATCTTGCATCAAGAGTTAACGAATCTATTACTAGCCTGAAGAAAGGCCTGTATACGGCTTTGATTATAAGCCAAGTTAACAAGTTTGTTGGCAAATCGAGTGATATGTCCAATGTTTCCTGCCCGTGGTGTCCGTGTGCCAGAAGCAGCTACTGTTGGCTGCAAGATCACTCAAGACTTCAGTTAAAAGAGGTTATGATTGTAAGTATGGTAATTGAAATGTAAAATATCACGCGTTACATCCAATCATGTCACTCCAGCATAAATATGTCTTCATTAGAAAAAAGGTGATATGATGCAAATTAAGATGATTAGTTTCATATATATTATTGAATATCTTTTAAGCCAATTATGGTTCTTTGCATCCCTAAATAAAGGTTTATTGATTGTAACTCAATGGCCAACAGCATGCAAGGTTGGCACAAAATGGCCAAGATAAGACAACACATCCATCACTTTGATTTGGATATCATCTGCTTACCTGGTCACCATCACTATAAAGAACAGGATTTTTATCTGCTCCGAGAACTTTTCCAACTATATCACACTCTTGAAGAAGATAATCAACAACAGCATCAGTTTTGCTCTCCAAACATGATAGTATTATACTTTCTACATGATGGTGCAATGAGTTATTGAATGGATATCTGTATTAGATAAAAAAATAATAATAATAAGACAAGTGAGAACCACATCATCAGACAAGTTCAGAAATTTCTACAAAATAAGAATTGTCAGGCATTGATAACTTTACCGAACCAAATATCATTAGTTACTTACTCAAAGAAAAGATCAATAACCCGTCGGATGATTCCTGAGTTGACTAATTCTACTTCAGCCAATTCATTACCAGCTTTCAAAAGTACAGCAATGAACTCAACTATCTGAAATAAATTGTAGGAAAGTCAAAAACAGAAAATACATTCAGACCTTGTTAGACTGTCCTTGATTGGGAATGTGAAATGATTAAATTACAACATGCATGGAAGGGAATCAAACTGCAAATGATTTAGCAAAGACAGCCATGCATGACAAATTTACAATAAAATCTAAACTTCTAACCTTTAATCGATGCTTCCCGAGTGGAGGCCTCAATTCTCCATATGTTGTTGGCAATACCTTTTCATCGGATGATACATGCAAAAGCATAAGCAATTCACCTGCAGAGAAAACAGTGAGATCTTGCACTGAAGAAATGGTAGCCATGTATGCTTCATACATCTCCTATTACAGAATAATCAAAATTCATCACCACCAACCTAACCCCCCTTCCTTCACCCCCACATAAAAAAAAAAAAAATCAAGAACCCAAGAGAAAACAGATGGCAAAATAGATAAATAAATTCCCCATGATTTACCTACTAACAAAATAAACTAGAACCTTGAACACATGCAATCCTTTTATTGGTGAACCTCGCAGGATAAGCAACCTATTTTCTAGAGGCAAATCCACATAATCCCATACTCCCTTCAAGACCACAATATAAATTATGGTCAACTAATTCATGATTTATGAACAATGTTAGTTAAAACTTTAAATTCTTAAAAATATCCACATCTTTTCATTTATAACCTCCTTAAATACCTTATATAACAGCCTTGATAATAGTAATTAAAATTGCAATGCATGATTTTTTTTCAAAAAGAGTAATAAATGAAGGGTATGGTTGGAAAAACAATTATAAAAGTTATCCAATATCTTATATTTTAAACCAGATAAGGTTTCTTGAAAATGCTTTATCTGTGGTCTGGAGGGAGTAACTGTTAGAAAGCATAACTCGCCGCTAGTTTTAATTTAAACAAAACAAATAGAGACAAAGTAATTTCTTAATTTTACACCAATGCCAAACTAAGTTTAGAGGGAAAAAAACTTCGAAATCCACAAGGACATGAAACACATGTAAAGTATAACTGTATCTTTCTTCCTTATATACCTCCTCCATGCAAAAGTTCACCCTCTTCTCAATATTCTTAAATAGATAAGGGGAAAAAAAAGGAGTATACATCTTGTAACTTGTACTAAACTGAAAAACCTTACAACTTTCTCTGAATAACAACAAATCTCAAGTTTTATTCAATATCATTCTAAACGTCATGTATTACAATGAAAACACAAATTCAAAACATTTATACATTTCCTGATAAAAAAACATCAGAAGATGCATAATTTCAAATGAGTTTATCAGGAAATCAACCAAGTTAAAAAGAAGTCATGAGCCAAAAAAAGCTCAACAACACTGGGATGACATACAAATAACATGAATTAAATATTACCAAGTTTTTGTAGCATTGCACCAATAGTCTCTGGGTTAACAGGAACTGGAGCCTCATACATGTGCTGACTACGGAAAGAATAAAAAAGGGGAGACAAACTTGCAGATCTTTTGGAATCCAGCAAAGAAATACACACGGAAAGAGAGCAAATGAGGCTAGACTTTGATTGTGAATCTTCCAAAGCATGATCCAAAATTCTTGCCACAAAACTGTATGTTGACAACAATTTAATAATTAATACAGTAGATATTAAATAACTAAACAATAGACAATAAAGCCTTGTAATACAGACCTTGGGCTTGAAAGTTTAATTGCTAGAGCAGATGAAGCATTTTGAGTTATTGTACACAGTGTTTCAGCAGCGTTAGCATGAACTTCAGGAGGACTCTGGTTCATTGAAAAGTTGCCAGATAGATTACAACCAAAAAAAAAAAACACTACAAAACAGATTTTTTTTCCTATCTAGAGCACCCATTTTCCTGGCCATAGGCATCTGATTTTTTCCATTTTCCTTGGTTAACAATAGTTGTAGGTTGGCCCATATCCATGGGTTGCTTAATCTTCTTACTTCCCCAAGGAAGAAGATAATGATGCAGTATACTATTTGTATATGCTTAATGAATCTACCTCTGAAACATAAACTTTCTATACACATCTCCAATTGGATGATCCATTAAACTGTGACAGAGAATTATAAACTGATTATTTTTCTATGTTCTCTAGAAGACTACAGGACCTTGTTTTGTTCCTAGAAGTCTTTCATGTGAACCAATTAGGGGATATCAAAACAACACCAGCCAGCATCAGTAGACATCCCTATCAGATTATGCTGTCTGATAGGAAAAAAGTAGAAGAAGCAGAATAGAAGAGAGATATAAGGTAGAGTTTGAGAAGAAGAGGAAGAGAATGAAGGAACAGAGAAAAAAGCAAGAGAGAGAGAACCTGGAGGTTTGTGAATGATGCATTTTATTAAGATATCAGCCTAATTACAATTAAGAGAAACCTAGTATTTATATATAGGCTTTAGGTGCAGAGAAGTCAAACAAAACAACAAATGACCTAACTGCCCTTTAATAACTACCACTACCTAGATAACACATGGTTTTTATTACTTTATATATCAATACCCCCCCTTTAACAGCCCTTGCCCTCAAGGGTTTGGAACTTGAAAATTTGGAAACTGTTTTTGAAAGTTGAACAAAGACATCCAGCTTGCTTCCTCATCTGGTTTACCCTGCCACTGTACCAAAACTTCAGTAATAACCCCTCCCTTATGTGTTCCTACTCTCTTGTTCAAGATCACTTCCGGAACAAGGGTAGCCAGAACTTCTGGCCAATTTTCAGGGGGATTCCTCTGTTTGACAGAGGAATCTGGACATAATTTCAACAGCGAAACATGGAAGGTTGAGTGAATTCTGGAGGTGGGAGGAAGTTCTAACTTGTATGCAACATTCCCTATCTTTTTCACCACTCTATATGGCCCAAAATACTTTGGTGCCAACTTCTGCATGCTCCTAGGGGTTGCTGAAATCTGTCTATAAGGGTGCAACTTGAGAAAAACCTATTGTCCAACCTCAAATTCACGATCAGACTTCTTTAAATCAGCCCTTTGTTTCATTCAGTTTGCTGCTCTGTTAAGAGGATACTTCAAAACATTTATCATACAGTCTCTTGCTGTAAAACTCCGATCTACAGCTTCAACCACAGCTTCTTTAGGCAGATATGGAGCATATATTGTTGGTTTTTGTCCAGAGTAATTCTCAGGGTGTTCCCTTGGTTGAAGTGTGGAAAGTTGTATTGTACCACCATTCCGCCAAGGATAACCACTTACTCCACTCCTTAGGAGTTTCCCAGCACATACACCTAAGATATGTTTCCATGCAACGATTCAACACCTCAGATTGTCCATCACTTTGAGGATGGTAGGATGAAGTAAGCTTCTGCTCTACCTTGATCACTTTCAAAAATTCTTTCCATAAATTACTGATAAAAATTGGATCCCTATTGCTAATGATCTCATTAGAAGCCCCCTGTAGCTTGTAAATATGATCGATAAAATGTTGACTCAAGGTAGCTACTGAAAAAGGATGAGAAAAAGCCAAAAAGTGAGCATAGTTGCTCATTCTATCCACAATAACCCATATTACTTCTTTACCCCTAGATTTAGGCAACCTTTCAATAAAATCCATTGCTATGCTCTCCCAAACTCTATTAGGAATGGGTAATGGTTGCAATAAACCAAGGATAGCTGCTGTCTCATACTTGCAACGAGCACACATATCACATGTTACAAAATCTTGAATATCCTTATGCATTTCCTTCCACCAAAACAACCCTCGAACCTTTTGATAGGTAGCATGCACCCTGAAGTAGCCTCCTTGTGGACTAGCATGCAACCATTCAAGGATTTGTTGCTTAACAGCTGCAGCATCACCAACCACTAGCTTCCCTTTTCGTCTAAACAACTGTTCATCCCACACATACTTGCCAATAGCACCTCCCTTTCGCTGCAACTCAGAAATTACAGCTTTCAAATCTGCATCAGCATCCCAACTCTCCCTAATTTTCTAAAGCAATTCAAGAGAAGTGGTATCAAGTGCCATTTGTAACAATTGAGGCCCATGCAACCTTGATAAAGCATCAGCAACAGCATTTTCCTTTCCCTTTTTTGTAGCAAATTTCATACTTATAACCCATCAACCTAGCTATCCAATACATTTGAAAAGAAATTTTTAACTTCCGTCCCAATAAGTACTTCAACCTTTGTTGATCAGTTTTGATAACAAACTTCTTTCTCTCTAAATACCGGTGCCAATATTCCACTGCTTGAACCACTTGCCATCAATTCTTTTTCATAGATAGACGACTTCAAGCATTGAGGAGCCAAAGCCTTGCTGTAGAAAGCAACAAATCTGCCTTCTTGCATCAATACAACACCAATCCCAAAACTGCATGCATCTATTTCAATAATAAAAATTTTATTAAAGTCTGGTAAAGCAAGTACAGGAGCTGAAACCAATACTTCCTTTAATTTTGTGAAAACTTTTGTTGCTATATCAGAACAAAGAAATCCTTGTTTCTTTAATAAATTGGTGAGAGGCCTTGCAATCTCCCCGTAGTGCTGAATAAAACATCTATAATATCCTGTCAGGCCAAGAAAACTTCTTAATTGTTTGATATTGGCTGGTTCTAGCCATTCAAGTATTGCCGTCACCTTCTTAAGGTCAGTAGAAACAGCCCCATTCCCTAAAATATGACCCAAATATTCATCAATAGTTGCTGCAAATGTACACTGCCCCCTTTTGACATAATATTGATTTTTTCTTAGGATTTCCAGCACCTTTGCTAAATGCTCCAAATGATCTGTAGGAGAAGAAGAATATATTAGGATATCATCAAAGAAAACAAGAACAAACTGTCTTAAAAAGGGCCTAAAAATAGAATTCATTGCTCCCTGAAATGTGGCCGGGGCATTGGTCAAGCCAAAAGGCATGACCAACCATTCATAGTGCCTGGAATGTATCTTAAATGCTGTTTTGTAAGCATCCCCAAGTACCATGCGAATTTGATGATATCCAGCTATTAAATCTAACTTGGTAAGCCATTGTGCAGCACTTAATTCATCAAATAAGTCCTCCACAAGAGGGATAGGGTATTGATTTTTGATAGTCCTTTTGTTTAGCTCCCTATAATCTATACACATGTGCCATAAACCATCTTTCTTCTTAACTAATATTATTGGAGCTGAAAAAGGAGGAGAACTTGAATAATCCCCGATTGCAGAAGTTCTCCCACTTGCTTCTCAATCACATCTTTTTGACTTGAAGGATACCAATATGGCTTTAAACTAATAGGATCAGCCCCTTGTTGAAGAACTATAGGGTGATTGTGACCTTCTCTCATAGGTGGCAGCCCATTAGGTTCATTAAAAACATCAGCAAATTCTATCAAAACTTGCTGGATCCCTGGAAGTGGCCCATCCTGTTCCCCTGTTACAGCAAAACATTGCATTTCTTTAGTTGTTGATTTAATAAGCTGTAGTAGAAACTTTTGTTCATCTCTGCCCCCTTGCTTTCTACTCTTTTTGGTTGCACCATTCTTCACGAGTTAGGCAAATTAGCTTGTAATTTGCATAGTTGACCTCCATGCCAAAAACACATGATGAGTGTCTCATAATTCCAAAAAGCATTCTTGATACTCTTTAGCCAATTTAAGCCCACCACCATGTCATAAGTCTTAAGGTCAAGGATTCTGAAATCAAATACAAACTCTAATCCCTTCATTTTCCATTCAAAACCCTTCCATAAGCCATGAATCTTGAGTTTTTCTCCTCCAGCCACCTCTACCCATGATTCTGGTGTACAAACAGGTTGCCAACCAAGCTTCTCTATTGTTTCCAGGTCTAGGAAATCATGGGCACTCCCATTATCTATCAAAATATGTATCTGCTTCTTGCCACTGTGTCCCACCACTCTCATTGAAGATGCACCCTCCACACCTTCCATTGAATGTAAAGAAATGAGTGGAGTTTCATCTTCCTTGCAGACTGCTTCTTCTAACTCCTCATTTGGCAATTCTTCTTCCGAGTCCTCTTGTATTGCAATAAAATGCAATTGCATCTTCTGTCTTTAAGGACATTTGTGGTCCCTAGAGAATTTTTCGTGACAATAGAAACAAATATTTTTTTTCTCCTATGTTCTGCTTCTTCTGCAGAAAGAATTTTAGGGGCATTAATACTATTTTTAGAAGAAGTGAAAGTTTTTGAAGGCACAAATGTCGACCTCCCTTTCTGTGGTGTCCCACCACCAAGCAAAGCATGTGTATGCCATTCTTTATAGGAGGTCCAATTAGTCTAAGACACTTGCGATGATGCAGAAGTAGGTGCAGCCATGTGTACGCCATTCTTTACACTTGTTCACTTGTCTACTTGTCTTTGCAAGGTAATCTCTTGCACGTGCACCGAAGAGTGAGCTTCTTGGAGAGTTCTGGGTTTAAAGAGTCTAACTAGACTTGCATAGTCCTCTATCAGACCTTCCATGTAAGCTTCAACCAAGTATTCTTGTGAAAGATCCAGTTTGCAAGCAATGGTGTCAAAGGCTTCATTGTACTCGACTAAGGATCCTTTTTGCTGTAGGCGCATCAAGTCACCCATCGATGTCTCATGGGTGGGTCCGAATCACTACTTCAAGGCTTTGACATACTCCACCTAGGTTGAAGTGACACCAAACCAATTCTTCTCTATAGCCGTGTGCCATGACCAAGCTTTTTCATCCAAACAAATAGACGCCATCTCAACCTTCTCATTTTCAGTTGTGTTATCAAGGTCGAAGTATCTCTCACATCTCATGATCTAACCCAACATGTCGGACCAAGAAAACTTGGGAAAGTCCATTTTTGTGAACTAGGTAGGCCGTCGATAATCTTCTCTATGCCTCAGATCTTCTTCACGAAAACATTGATGCCCATTTTGGCCTTCTTTGTTTCGACAACCATAGGTAGTAAACTCGTCGTCCCTTTCACACATCAAAGACTGAATCTGTTATGAGAGACCAACAACTTGGTCACTGAGCATGTCAACAGAGTGAAGTTTAGTGAGTCTTTGTTCTATCTCGTACAGTCTTTCTTCCATCTTTTGTAGGGTTTGGTTACAGGTCTTCACCATATGCCATCAGATGATAGAAAGAAGAAAAGAAAAGTGGCCAAGGAACGAGTGCTCTGGTACCACTAATAGGAAAAAAGTAAAAGTAGAATAGAAGAGAGATATAAGGTAGAGTTTGAGAAGAAGAGGAAGAGAATTCAGGAAAGAATGAAGGAATAGAGAGAAAATCAAGAGAGAGAATCAAGAGGTTTCTAAATGATGCATTTTATTATGATATTAGCCTAATTATAATTAAGAGAAACCTAGTATTTGTAGGCTTTAGGAGCAAAAAGTCAAACAAAACAATGACTAACCTAACTGCCCTTTAATAACTACCACTACCTAGATAACACATGGTTTTTATTATTTTATATATCACTTTGTCTATCAGACAAAGCTCATTAAATGGCCAGTCTCTAGCTTGTAGAACAACCCTAAGTTCAAGAGTTTAGTTCCATATAAGCTCAGAGAACATGCCTGTTATTAATAAACAATAGGAAGTGTGGAACACATGCTTAAATAAGTTAAATATTTCAGCATTCATCATCTACTGACAAAAGAATAAATGTGTCTCCTGCTATACAGAGTAAACATTACAATATGTACCAGACCAAAGTTATGAAAGTTAATCCCAAAGACATATAATATCTAAAGAAGAAAGCACCAAGAACAAGGACAACATACGGAAAACAAACCAAACCTAGCTAGACTGCTAGATGAATATAAATCTAGAGAGAATCTTCACTTACAGATGGGCATAATTTGTCAACAATCATCTCTAGCAGGTTGCTCTCAACCAACCATTGTATCACATCTATAAAGTTGGGATACACATGGTCATCAGCACCTACTAATCGAACCAAAACCTGGATACGGAACTTATTTCAGAATCCATTTAACAACCTCACAAGACCACACCATTACTATAACTACCACCAAAGAAAAGCATACCTCCATTATGGATGTAATTCCTATCAAATCAACCAGTTGCTGAACAACATTCTGATGGGCCTGCAGAAAGTATGCTGAAGTGTAAACAAGAAATAAATTCACAAGACCGCATATCGGACAGCTTAATTGGTCATCTGATATCAACTAAAGATTATTTCACAGTAAAGTGCCAAGAAGGTAATGTATATTTTACCCAGAGCTTTTGTCCTCTCCTTAAAATAGTAAACATCAAATAAGATTACCAAATCCTGCTACAAAAGCATGCATATTTACTTACTTTAACATAATTCATAAGAGGCAAAGTCTTCCTAATCATGAGGCAAACAACAACCTGGAATATGACATAGAAAGCGCATCAATCAGGCAGTTTTATCTTAATAAGTTAAGAAAAGCTATGGTGATAAACTGTCACACAAACAACTGCCAGCACCATCAAGATTACCTTGCTAAAGTATCCAGCCCGTAAGGTGCTATGAGGACGGTTCGGCTCTAGGAAGGAGAATAGTAAGTGCATTAACTGTAACAGGAAATGAAATAAAAAATCATTACATATATAGCATTATTACACCACTTCAAGCTTATAAAAATTTTATCATCAATCAAATGAAGTATAAACCTCTTCTTCCTCCACCAAAGTCTTCAAAATGACATCAATTTCACATGTAAAAATCTCACAGGAAATGAAAGGAAACCTAAATGACAAAAATCAAATATCAGATTAAAATGAGGAGAAATATAATTTGAAACATCAAAATACAAGATTCAACCGATTTTCAGTTTAGAAGATTGCATACTTGAAGGCCCGGTTGCTTTCAGCATCTTCTGGTGGTTCTTCAACAATGTAGCGTAGTAATTGCTCAACCTGAGCTCTGTCCCTCAGACTAGAGGGGCAAAAAACATAACCTTTTATGGAATCGTCTTTTATTAACATGTGTCCATTTTGTGTATTATGCAATTTCATTTTAGATTAACAGAGCATGGAAAACGTAAATCATGCTTGTGCGAGAAACTGTTCACAACATACAAGTTAATGAGGCGACTGTTTAAGGCCTTGCATTCTTGAATTATTTCCTCTTCATCCAGAAGCTCTTCCAAAGTGAAATTCTCCTGGTCTAATATTGCCTCCACCTGTAAAGTACCAGAAACACAAAATGTACTTGCGGAATTACAAAAAGAGGACATGTGAATAGGTAGATAAACTCTAAGCTTTAAGCCAGTTGAAGCTTTTACCATCAATAAGGCACCGTCTGTATATTAGTCTTTTACAGAAAGACCTTTAATTGGAAAATTTCACTCTCCAGTATCAGTGAGACGATGTTTAAGGAAATAAATTTCACTCTCCAGTATCAGTGAGGCGATGTTTAAGGAAATATGGTAACTTTAAAAAGTAAAAGCATGTTGTTACAAACAACCTCCAAATTCAAATTAAATATAAGATAAATTGAGTATATTCAATTGGAGTAAATCTCGCGAGTTTTACATTGCACAGTTTGCCCACCGGAATATCCAATAAAAGGGGACCTTAGAAGAATATGAATGCTGTCTTGGCTTTGAGGTGCTTTAAAAGATGTTAACAACGGAAAGTATTCAGTAATTTGCCGAGAAGCTTCAATGACTTCTAATTGAGATCCTCCTAATATAGTAAGACAACTAAGTCGATTCAACAAAAAAGAAAAAAAAAGGAAAGATAAGAAAAGAAAACGTGTGGGGCAGAAAGGGAAGTGGGGCACATCCATCGACAGCTGAAGTTATAATTTATAAGAAAACGCATGAAAACCCAGGGCAGTTAAGGTCGATCCGTGAAATGATAATATGACAATATGGTTAGCACAGTGGAATAACGATTGATATAAATTTAAAATAGGGGGATCAAAGCCGTTCGGAGTGGATAACTAACTGATGCTTGAATTTACGTGCTTTGGGGGGTGGGGGACAAAATCAAACTACGTTTTAAATTAACTAAAAATCAACCTCACACAGTGAATTAGCAAGGTAATGAAGCTCGCAATAAGAGCAGAAGAAACTTACAGGAGAGGAGGCAGATAAAGAAGCGAGCTTCCAAAACATGTCAACAGAAAATATTGAAGAGAACTAAATTTAGCAGCGGGGGAAGCGAGAGCTCCCCTGTTGTGTGAACCCTTGACAAAGCGGCAAATTTAGGTCAGGGGAACATAAAACCAGATGATTCGAGATGGGAAGGGACACAGGAATCCCAGAGAGGGCTGTAAAGGCTATGAACCCTAATTTGGTGGCAAACAGATCCAAAAGATGCAGGCCGTGATGAACGATGAACAAAGGAAGAGAAAAACCCCAAATATAAACAGAGCTTCTTCTAATCGCAAATGGAAGGGAGGCGCTCCAAGTTACAAAACCGCAAACGATGCACTCTCCGAAGTGCCACAACAACGAGAGCCATCTCTCGTCACATAATGGATTGCACGTGGCCTTCTCTCTCTCTCTCTCTCTCTCTCTTCATTGTTGTGTGAGACCATCGCGTTCTCTATGGCCACGTGAGGTGAATGACATTAAAGATCCGTTTAAATTTTAATTGAGTATAATAAATTATAAAAATAATTAATTAAGTAATAAATTTTAATTATAATTAATTATTAATTAATTTAATTTTTAAATATTAAATATTAATTTTTTAAATATACAAAGTTTAAATTTTATTGAGAAAAAAAAGAAAAAGAGAGAGTTTAATTTTATTTTTATTAAATTATGTGCTTTTTTTAATTTTTTTTGAGCCTGTTTTTGTAATTTTTTCCAATATTTTTGACAAATGTTTATCAAAAAGCTGATCGTAGTAGCTTACGGGAAACGCGCATATGGGGTCAAAATCAATTTTCATCCTTTTCTGACCGTTTGGCTAATTTACTTAAAAAATTGATTTTAGAGGGGGAAAATTGATTTTTTCTCCTATCCAAACACACACTAAAATAAGACAAAAATTGATTCTCGCATGTTACACGCGTTTTCCGTAAGCTGATGGAATTAGCTTTTGCCAAAAGTTAATCAAAAAAATTAAAAAAAAATTACAAAAGAAAGCCCACAAAAAAATTATAAATAAAGCACATAATTTAATAAAAATAAAATTAAACTCTTCTCTCTTCTCTCTTTTTTTCCTTAATAAAATTCAAATTTTATATCCTTAAAAAATTAATTTTTATATTTAAGAATTAAATTATATAGTAATTTATGTAACTAAAATTGATTCTAATTAAATTATCCAAATATTTTTAATTTTTTTAAAATTAATTTTAGAAAAATAGTATCTAAATAGATTGCATTATAACATAATCAACTATGATTAAAATCTACTACTTAATTAATTATTTTTATAATCTATTATACCCAACTAAAATTTAAACGGACTCTAAGGCGGTTTCAAACAGAATTTAGTGCGGTAAAAATTATCAATTTTATATTAAATATTATCTTGTGAAAGTTCATGTATGTTATTATTAAAAATTAAATCTCAATTTTAATTTTAATTTTAATCTTAAAAAAATTAAAAAAATATAAATTAAGATTTAGCTCTTAACAATACCAAATATATGTTTTTTATAAAATAATAATGTTCAATGCAAAGTTAATAAATTTTTATTACAATAAATTCTCTTTAAAAAACAATGCCATTCTCCCTAAATATTAACCATCGTTCCATAATTTATTTTCAAAATTTTTGGTTAACTTATGTTAATTAATTAATATTAATAGGTTTCTATTTATTATCTTTCAAGATTTTAAATTCACTTTATAAAAAAATTGTTTGATCAATAAATTTTGGAGTCTTTTAAGTTTTCAATGCTGCAGTAGTTTTTATTTTTTAACACAAAGAAACACATCTCGTTCAAAAATTTATGAATTAGGTATACCTGTCCACCATGGACAAGTAAAAAAATAACCATATTGTTTAAGGTTAAAAATATGCAACTTGTTAAATTATGCTCTAGCCTCGTGCATTGTGGCCTTTTACTAAAACAAGGTCATGAAATCAATTGCACCCAAAAAAACTCGATGTGATAGAAATTGAGTGAGACTATGTGAATTATTAATACAATCAAGATTTTAAAAAAGCAATGTAAAAATATCATTAACTATTAAATTAATGAATTTATGATTACATTCTATTTATATTTGGGACAAAACTTTTATACTTAATTTTATATATTTAATATATTTTTATTCAATTAAAATAAGACATAAAAATTTTAACATATTAATAATATTATTATTAATATTAATAATAAAAATTTATTATAAAATATATAATCTATAAAAAATATATTTATTTTGAGTTAATTAAAAATAAGTATTTTAAATATACAAAGCTGAATATACAATCATTAGTAGATAATGGAAATAAACAGTGGCTTTCACATTAAATTGTCATGGGTATCAGGGTAAAGTTGACCAAGCAAATGAATGAGCAGCTTTTGAATGCATACTATAAATATAAGATTGAATTAATGAATTGATGATTTACACAATATTTATATTTACCAAAGGCAACATAGTAAGATTGATACAGTAAAGGAGCGAGCAACTTATGAACACATTTGATAGATATAAAAAAAACATTGCCACATCTAACAATAGAGATTTTTTTTCTCCTAAAATATTGAAAGCAAAGTACGCATCCCTCCCTCGCAATTAAGTTGTTACATGCATGATGACTTTTGAACATGTTTTAATTGAGATTATGCACTCCTGCTATTCAAATTGGTTTGCAACAATGTTAAGAAATCAAATCGTTCATTGAATTGATTGAGATACTAGTTCATAATTCAATGATCAGATTATATTTTAAATTGTGGTTCAATCGATCATAAATAAATTGATATATTTTAAATAGTACATGCTTAAAATAAAAAGAAATAATTATATATGATAATAAAAAATAATTTTTAAATGTCAATCAAAATAATGTAAAATAAAAAAGATAATATCCATCAATATTTCATCATTTTAGTTTCATGATTTATCATTTATAATTTTAAAATATATACATGTTTTATACATATTCCTTGCATATTTGTTCATACTTTTCATTTCTCAATTTTTTTAGGCATAAATATGTGTAAATTATAGTTTGTAAATATGAATTAAAATTTTAAAAAAATTAAAAAATGAAAAAAAGCAGAATCAATTCAACCAAAATTGTTATCTGTTTGACCAGTTCAACCGGTTTTTGGATGGATGGATTTTAAATAGACGTAGGGCTAGTTCTTAATTAAACCGACTAATCCAATTTGGTTTTGATACCTCTATTTGTAAAAACAGATTAAAATGATACTTCAATGCTCCATATGCATACATAACACAGCTTGTAAATATTCATTCAAGATGGCTGTAAAAAAAACTCATAGCACATTCAGTGCCACCTTGCACCTTAAAATTAAACCGCATAAAATTAAATAAATAATGTTTTCCTCAACAATTAGATTGATAAAATATCTACTCCCTCTGTTCAAAAATGTAAGGTATTTTTAATTGAATCTCACCTCCTAACAAAATAATTACCTACTTTTAAACTAACAATATCTTTTTATATTTACCTCTATTAAACACATTGTAATAAATATAAAGTTATTATTAATAGGAAAATTTTTGGAAAAAAAAGAAATAATTATACCTCGAAAGACTAAAAATGCCTTACATTTTTTAACATTCAACTTCTCAAAAAATGCCTTATATTTTTAAACGAAGGGAGTATATATATATATGATAAAAAGTAGGTGAATGTTTTGACGCTTCTCAAAACAAGAGATCTATTGGTAAATTGTAATATAATAATTATTTTTCCTTAAAACAAATGAAACCACTCAATGACAAGGACATAATAGTTTATTCATTGTCATCTCCCTGCTTTCTCTCTTAGGAGTGTTTAGTTGGAAAGGCGGGGAAGGGAGGAGAGAGAAGGGATTTTGCCCCTTTTCTCTTGTTTGGTTTAAAAAATTAAAAGGGAATCCCCTATCCTCTCTTCTAAATTAGGGGCTTGGGAAGGGAGGATAAAATTTTTAATACCCTAACCAATATGCCCTCCGATAAGTTCAAAAAACATAAATACACTTTTTTAATATATCAATACCAATAAAATGAGGATAAAATTGTTTACAAATAATTATTTTTCCCCTCCTCTCTTGAACTAAACAAGGTAGCATCAAACCCTCCTCCCTCCCCTCCATTAAAACCCTCTCCTCCCCTTAAACCAAACACACGCAAACTAAGTAAAAGATGATTAAAATCTCCTCAAGTCATAGTAGATAAGAAAATTAAAATCCATCCTATTCATAAAAGCTCCTCATCTGCTCTTTTCCTTTGAACTTAACGCACTTTTAGCAGTGAAATATTTTATATGATATTAATACTGTATTAATTATTAACTAATATAGATATCAAACTTTATAAAAAAAGGATATATAAGATCATTTAATTATATTTTTTATCTGCAGCTTTCCCCGTCGAGTTAGTTAACTTTTTTAAGGGCCAAAATTCAACCACCTATATCAAATGAAAAGTTATCAATATAATTATTTGGGCTAAAATTGAAACATCACTTACAGAGGGCTATAACCTAAAGTGGGTTAAGTAATTGGAGAGTCAAGCCCAACAAGTGACATAAACAAAAGGGCTAATTTAGATCCCAAGAGAATAACTTTGTCAAACAAGCACATATCCTCGAATACCTTAAGTCTCGAAGCATTACTTGTATCGTTGGTATATAAAATCATAACCTCAATGGGCCCCAAATATCACAAAGACATAATCATTATTCACGAGTATCTTGGAGATGAGGGTTGTTTATTAAACAATGGAATGTGAAACGAGTATACTGTGCCATGAATTTCCCAGACTGTGTATAGTAAATCTATGATATTTTGTGAGTGCATTATAGATTCTATAGGAGCAACCGCTACAACTTAGTTATTATAAAAAGAGGATAAATCACAGAAAAAAGGGAAAAAGACACTAACCTAAGTGGTGAATTATTTTCACATATGTAGTTCTTAGATTCATCATATAGCTTTTACATATAGCTTTAATTTCATTTTTTAGTCTTGTAATTTTTAACACTTTGTAATCCTGTAACATTAATTAAACACATGTTATTTCACTCTTATGTATCTTTTACATCTAGATAAATTGTGGTAAAGGAACTTGAGGACCCTTTACTACCAAGTAAGACTTAACGTCTCTAACGCACTTGGCAATTTATTGTACTAACGAACAATTTATGGCATGCCTAGTAAGACTCTATGTACCAAGATGTCAAGGACTAAGAAGGATAAAAAGATTGATGAAACAAGTACCGGTTCTAACGAGCCAGAAGAAAACTCTATACCCACAGGGATGGAACCATTGATACCTAACACTTAGATAGGTGGACATTGTGAGCTCATAATGATGATGACAATA